GCAGTTGTTGCTGGTTTTTTTCTCAGTGGCTTGATTCACCATGTTTCAATGGTTAGGAGGCTTGGGGGTAAAAAAGCAAGTTTGTGTCTGTATTTGTGAACTACATTTTCTTATACTGAAGAATTTGTGGCAGTGACATGGTATCATGTTGGAGTGTTTTGTCTCTTAGGAGAAGCCTGAGAATCTGCCATCCACATGAAAGGTAGATGTTTATAGTGCTTCTCAGGACAGGCACTGCTAAAGCAGAGTAGCTGTTTCAAACCCACGCTCATTTCATCACAGTGCCACACTGGTGGCAGATCCCAATGTATTTTCCTCCTACTTCTGTGAACCTGTATTAATAGAAAAGCTCTCCAAAGCTGCCGTGATTGTAGTATTAACCTGGCATTTTTATGTTGCAGGTAAAGGACCTAGATAATCGAGGCTTGTCAAGAACATAAATGCAGCATTCAGCTCTGATATGCTTCGCACTGAGCGTGTCATATTAAGGACGTTGAAGATTTTTTTAATACAAAGTTTATAAGAACAGAGCCGGATGGGATTAGAATTGTCTGGAAGTTTTGCCCTGGACAGTGTGGGCTGGGCCAAATGGAATGATTTTTATAATTCTGAGCAGGTTACCAAATCAAATGTCATGGCTTTACTTTGGTCAATTAAAGGGGGGAATTTTTAAAAAATGTGCCTTATTTGTTTTGACTTGTAGCTGATTTGAAGAAAGTAAAAGTTTGTGCCGGGCTGGTAGAACAATAGCAAACCTTCCCCACGCTCTTAGCTCTGTAAATGAGCCTCATAGAGCATTCTTTCTCATATCAGGAAAACTACCAGGGTTTAGCTCTGAGTCTACATATATAAACACTTTGTCATATTTCTGTGTTGTAGCACCTACTGAATGCCTTGCACTTAGTGGGTGCTCAATAAATTTTTATCTAATGAAATAAATGTTTGTGGGACTGGAGGAGTGTATTTCTGGGCAGGGAAAAAGCAATTTTCCTATTATTATGTCTTTGTCTTCAATGTCTTACCCTTAGAGGCTCTTTTCATTTATAAGGGATGAAAAAGTTGCTAGCTTTTTTTTTTTTTTTTTTTTTTTTTGGTCTCATCTTTTTTGAGACAGGTTCTTGCTATGCAGTTCAGGCTGACCTTGAGCTTACTTTGTATCCCAGGCTGGCCTCAAACTCACAGCAATACTTCTGCCTCAGTCTCCCAAGTGCTGGGATTACAGGCATGTGCCACCATGCCAGGCTGCCTGTTGTTTTTATACACCACTTCAAACTCAGTCACCTGGCTCTGAAGCCCTTGCCATATAAGAGACAAATCAGAAGAAGCACCACTGTTAAGCAAACACCTGGAGAGCTCTGCCAATCTGAGTGTAAGAAAAGAAACTTCTTATAACACTCTGCAGTCCCGTAGGTATTTGATGTCAGGACAGACCGCTTTCTGTTCAGTACAGTACAGTAGTATATTTTATGTATTTTACAGTGTAAGACATGTCACTGAGTATGTATACTCTTTAAGTCTTAAAAAATTTAAGGTAACTACTATCTATTCAAAATAAACAGGAACAGTTAGTTACAAGGCTTTGGGTAAGTCAGAATGGTACTCAGAACGGTATTCCTAAAGGTCTGTTTGGGTACATTTGTATACCTATGTAATTTCATCTTCCAAAGCAATTTTTATACCATGTGTGTAGTTTACCTGTAGTTGAGACTTAGATTTAACATAAGATTTCATTTAATACATTTAAATATATTACTTGCTGGCGCCTGCCCCTGTAATCCTAGGACTTGGGAAGCTGAGGTAGGAGGTTTGCTGTGAGTTTGAGGCCAACCTGGGAGCTACATAGTAAGTTCAAAGCTAGCTTGAAATACATAGCAAGACCCTATCTTAACAACAACAACAACAAAAACAAAAACAAAAAAATCTATATGTATGAGCTTCATTTAGATACAGAATTATTCCCTGGAAAAGGGTATTTGAGTTTTATTCATCATGATGATTAATAGTAGAGATCTTTAGTAAACTCCCTGTACAGTAATGTGATGTTTTTAACTATAATTGTGGCTCTTAGGAATTTACTTTTGTTACTTTCTAGGCTACACGAAGCTATCTTTTTTGTTTTGTGCTGTTTTTTGAGACAGTTTTATGTAGTTCAGGCTAACTGTGACCTAAGTACTACTCTAGGCTGGCCTCAAAATTGGAATCCTCCTGTCTCAGCCTCCTGTAGGACTAGAGGGATGCCACCATTTCTGCTAATGTGTTCTTCTTCTTTTTTTTATCAGTACCAGGGATTGAACTCATGACCACACGCTTGCAAGGCAGGTGCTTATGCCACTGAGCTAAATCCCCAGCCCCTGTGCCACCATTTCTGGCTACATGAAACTAGTTTAGAAATACTGACTTTCTGGCACACATCTATAACCTTAGCAATGGGGAGGCTGAGGGAGGTAGATCACTATGAATTTGAGGCTAGCCTGAACTACAAAGTGAGTTCAAGGTCAGGTTGAACTGTATAGTGAGAGCTTGTCTCAGAAAAACCACACATATACACACACAGACACAGAGTATTTACTTTTATTTTCACTGTTATGATGGTACACTTATTTTTTTAAAAAATCAGTTCTAAAACAAAACCCTTTACTTTCCAGAGATAAACACTTTCAACTATTTTCATTACTTACCTACATATCATTAAATAATTTACTTCTCATTACTTACATACATATCATTAAATAACTTGCTAGGTTTTGTTGTTTCCACTTTTAGTACTAAAAATTTTCTGATGTGGAATTTGATGATTTAGCTTTTTCACCATCCTTCACACTTACGGACATGTATTCTTAGTGTTTTCTACTATAGCTCTGATTTTCGTTATATTCTGTTGTTAAATTCTAGTTACTCAATTTTTGTATTCTATTCACATCTATTATAGTTAGGTCTGTTTAAGTTAGATCAGTAGTTTTTATCTTCTGTCCAATTCATGTAATATATATTGTTAATACTTTTCCTGCATACTTTTTAGGAAGTTGTTTTTGGAATTTTCACTAATTTGACCCCCAGTTCCTTTTTATTTGTGCCAGCCTCTTCTTCATACGTTGACATATTAGGTATTTGTTGTTAAGGATGTCTTCTCATTTGGTGTGTTGCAGTTTGAATTGGTTTACTCCTAGGTCTACAGGGCCGTATTGCTTTGCTGTTGTGTGTGTATGTTTTAATTGTCTGATTTTATTTATTTATTTATTTTTTGCTATTACTGGGGATTGAATGCAGGGCTTTCCACTGAGCTACATCCCTAGCCCTTCTTTGTTTTTTATTTGGAGACAAGGTCTCAGTAAACCACTAATTTTTCTGGACTATATTCGATCTTTTGATACTCCTGCTTCAGCCTCTAGGAGGCTGTACTACCATGTAGGTGTGTACCATCATGCCCAGCTTCCTTTTTTCTTTCTTTTCTTTCCATTCTTTATTTTTCAGAGAGAGAGTCTTGCTGTCTAGCCCACTCTGGTCTTGAACTCCGTGATCATCCTGCTTCAGCCTGTAAATGCTGCGCTTATAGGCATGAGCCACTACATCAGGCAGGGCTTCTTTCTTGACTTTCCATCTTTACCTTCCTGAGGGAATGTATGTGGAAGATACACTAAGGTTTCAGGAGATCTGGCATATCCCTTGTCATACTTGATAGGTAGGTGGGTTATAGGATTCCAGGTTGGGGATGATTTTTCTTCAGGATTATGTAGCCTAAACGTTGTTGAAAAATGCAGTGTCGTTCCCATCATTGTTAGTATTTGTTCATTCGGACTCTCAGTCCTGACCACTTAGGGTCTTTTCTTTGTGTCAGAACTTCCCGTGTTATACCTGAGTGGGTCAACAGCTGTGTTGTACACTTTGGGCTTTGCGAATGCAAATCAACTTATTCACTGTGGAAAGTATTCTTGTGTTATATGTGGATTTCACTTTTTCTTATAGTTACAGATATTGGACATTTTGAATCAGTCTCCTATTTTCCATCTTCTGGGAAATTTCCTCAACTGTATTTTTAACCTATTTAAAATACTGTAGTTTTTTTTGCCCCCCACTGTCAACTTGTAATGTTCGAGGGTTTTTCTTTGAACATCTGTTTTGGTATCTTTTCAATTAAAGACTCTCAAATTCTTGATTGTCTGCTGTTAAGAGAGGGACCGTAGGAAGCTGATGGAAAGGGCTCTGTAGGTGATACTCATGGGGTGTCTGCTGTTTCAATCCACTGTGACCTGCTTAGGTATTTACATTGGGAAATGTCTAATACTGGTGACTTATATATTTTTTGTTTTCTTTGATAAAATTCCCTCAAGAAATTCTCTATCGTCTTAAGGACATAAGCTGCCAGCTTTTTGGTAGTAGAAAAGCAGGTTTATGTGTCTAACCTTCGGTGTATACTTCTGCCTGTTTTTAGTAACACACCTAAGGTTTCTCTCGAGTTCAGATATAATGTAAAAAAACCTTAAATCTTTACCCAGCCTTGGGAAAGGGCAGTTAGCTCTTTTCAAGGAATAGTGAGGACAAGCAGAGGTCTATTTGGTTTTCATATATATAGTCTTTTAAGAAATTTATCCTCTTTTTGCCCTCCTTTAACCTCCAGAGTTGCCTGGTGTCATGAATTCAACAGGAGCCTTTGAGATTTCTATGATGTAAATCTATGATGTAAATCAAGCTTTATTTTACTAGGTCCCATTGCCACCTTTGGGATTCATCTTCGTTACGGTTCATTTAAAGCTTTCTATCTTCCAAAATTTTTCTTATACTCTAAGAAGTTATTTTAAAGAAAAATTTTTTACTATTATTTAAGTTTCAGAGGAAAAAGAAGCTATTCTCATATGTGCTTTTTAACTGGTATGAATCTGTATACCTTGTTTTCAGGCTAGAAAGATAGTTTCCATTTAGACATTTATAATCCATGCAGATCTTCCTTCATATTTTTTTATTTTCAGGACACAGGAAATCGTAGAAAGAGATAAATGATTTAGAAACTTATGAGTCTTAGATGTCATAGTTTGAGATTTCACATAGAAACATTTGGAGTGTTCTAACAATTTGCACCTTTCAAGTAGATGTGTATTTTTCTTTTTTTGATATATAATGTATTTTAGATGTATTTTGCTCTAAATGACTGTTATCACTAGTTATGTTGAATATAGTGTGGCCCTGTTTTGAGGAAAGGGCACTGAATGCAGATCTTGCTGTGCCTTGAACCCTTAGCTTATTTGCCATTGGGAATGCCTCCTGCAGTTTTTGCAGACTCCGTTCCCAGGTGCCTTTGTTCAGAACTTAGGTGCCCCTGTTACTCTACTTTTTATTTTGCGTTGTAAAATTTCGGCTTCTACTTGGCTGTTAATACACATGCACAATGAAGAAGCTCATAGTACTAAGCTAGGCAGACAGTTTTCCTTCAAACCAGGCTGAGCTAAAGCACTGTTTCCGACGGAGCCTTCACTGGCAAGACAGGGCAAAATCGGTAGCTCTGATATTTTCTCAACTGCCACCAAAATAAAGCCAAACCCCAAAACCCTTTCTTCTTGCCCCTCATCCCTGTTTGTGGCACTGTCTGACGTCTGTCGCTCCCACCACGCGCTCCCGGCTCTCCACAGATCAGGTCCCAGCAGCTCCCCACGCGCGCTGCGGCGCGGTCCGTGGCTGGCGCGGCACTACGCGAGCACAGCCAGGGGCCCGCGCGGGCTCGCGTCACTCCGGGCGGATGCAGCCGGCGGTGTTCTCGGGTCACAGTCCGCCTTTGACCGCCAATGAACCTGGGGTGGCCAGCTCCAGCCCGGGCAGGAGGAGGAGTAAGTCTCGAGCAGCCAGTCGGCCAGCGGTCTCTCCAGAGCGGCGGGACGCAGAAGCGCACGCCGCCCTGCTTTACGGCAAGGACGCGCGCGTTTGCGATAGCGTGAAGCAAGCAAGTTTTGGCGGGAAAAGCGCTGCATTGGGACTGCTGTGGTGGTAGGCAAAGGACAGGCTGGTGAGGAGAGGCGGCCGGTGGAGTGGGAAGGGAGTCTGGAGGAGGAGTGAGGCAGGTCTAGGTTAGTGAGGAGGAGGAGCCCGGGACACAGTGTGGCTGGGAACGACCGAAGGGACGGAGACCTTCTAGCGGAGAGGGTGGAGGCTGTGGAACCGCGGGTCCTTATTGTCGCGGGCACGGGTACGGGAGGGCGCACCCTGTGGCCGGACGCCTCCGAACCTGGACGCCGTCCCGCGGGTCCCGGCCCTGCCTTCGGCTCCGGGGGCGGCGCGGCCCCGCCCCGCCCCCTCCCGGGCTCCGGCCTTTCGGGGTGGGAATTGGACCCGCGCTGGGCGTAGGAGGGGCCGCGGGAGCCGGGGCCCCGGCCGCCTCCATTAGCCTGAAGCCTTCGCCCTTCCCGCCCCCTCCGGGAAGCGTCTGTCTCCCGGCCCCTCGGGCCGAGGGAGGCAGCCCCGCCTCACGTGTGCGGAGCAGTGGGCGTCGGGATCTAAACGACTGGACGCCTAATCTCGCTCGTGGTGGAAAATTGGCTAAATCCGGATGAGGCGTCAGGGGAACCCAGGGGCTGTTCTAGGGTGCCTTGGCCGGGGGCGGGGCTCGGTGGCCCTGCAGGTGATCGCAGCTTGCACTCCTCCCTCCCGCTTGCAGGGCTCCTGTCTCGCCCAGCTGGGTGCGCGGCGAAGTCATGGCCGTGCCCTTCGTGGAAGACTGGGACTTGGTGCAGACCCTGGGAGAAGGGGCCTATGGAGAGTGAGTGGAGCCCTGATTTTATCCTGCCTCATGCAGGCTTCAGTTTCCTGTCTACTGCTCACTCTGAGAGCATAGTTGGTGTTTAGAGAACAGATCTTTGTATGTAAATGGAAACCAAGGCTTTTAGCAAGTGAAAGTAACACAATCATAAGTTAGTATTTTTTTCCTAACTTCTCTGTCTCCTCTCCCTCCTGCCCTCTTCACTTCCTCTTCCCGCCTCTTCCCTCCTTCACTACTTCTCCCCTTTCCTCTGTTAAAGTTACTGTTTCCCCCAGCAACCAAACAGTCTATGTCTTTAAGCATAGTGATTAAATGAACGGGTTCTGACAGCTTGCCTGGCTCCAGATTCTTTCTGTGATAGCATGCACTGATCTTGTTTCCTGATCATAGGCAAACTTCCTCCTGCCTGGTATCTATCTCTCTTTCCTCATATACAAGTGGTAATGTTACCTACCCCAAAGATAGAGTAGTCACCACAGGCATAGAATTACTAAATGCTATTAAAGTAATATGACTAGAACATCTACATATGTGATGCGACCTAGGATTGCTACTATTTTAATTTATTTTATGAAACACTTACTAAATGGTTTGCATGCACTGCATAATGAATTCTTTGGAGTGTTAGCTATAGTACTTTACAATCCCAAAAATATCTCCTGAGGCTGCGACAGAAACCAAGTAAATGGTTTCTCTTTGGTGGAGAGAACAACACGTAAAATAGTTTTTGATGTGTTTAATTTTTTTAATTTTTAAAAAATTTCAAATGTCTAGAATGTTACCATTCTTTCTGTTCTTGTTTCAGAGTTCAACTTGCTGTGAATAGAATAACTGAAGAGGCAGTTGCAGTGAAGATTGTAGACATGAAGCGTGCCGTAGATTGTCCAGAAAACATTAAGAAAGAGATCTGTATCAATAAAATGTTAAATCATGAAAATGTAGTGAAATTCTATGGTCACAGGAGAGAAGGCAATATCCAGTATCTATTTCTGGAGTACTGTAGTGGGGGAGAGCTTTTTGATAGAATAGGTATGGAAAAAATTTAAGATACTTTGCTGAAAAAGTTATTAAATATGTATGTTTTTAAAAATTACATATTTTGGGCTGGGGATTTAGCTCAGCGGCATAAGCGCTTGCCTTTCAAGCCTGTGGTGCTGAGTTCGAGCCATGGTACTGGTAAAAATACAAAAAAAAAAAAATTACGTTTTTACCTTGGGTAGCTATTTGGTCATACTCCTCTCAGAACTGCTTATGCAATAGTAGAATTGGAGTAAATTGTGTTTTGGGTCAGTTTATGTTAACAGCGTATACAACAGTATAAAGTCAGTGAAAGAAAACTTTTCTTAAAGGATTTTGTTTAGGATTGCTGTCTTTTGGAATTTAAGAATGATAAACTAGTTTTTTGGTGAGGTACCATCATAAATTCAATTTATCGTTGGCCTGTGTAAATTTTTTCTTTGTAGATATTTTAAAATGAAATCATTGTATACGTTTTCAGATCCAAAATAATAACATGTTATATTTTCTCTTTGTTAAAGTGAAAAAGTTGTTTTCTAGAATTCATATATATATGATTCTGTGTGGTACTTAAGTATTCTATGCAGACTCATGATTATTACAGGAGACTGAGAAATACATAAATTATATTTGGATCTAAGTTTATTACTTAAAGCTATTTTATTAATTAATTTAAAAAACTACTAAGATTGCCAATGTGAATGTCAAGAGGGTTGACAGTAAATCAGAAGTTGATAAGAGATCAAAATATGGTAAAAGAAAACTGACAATAGAGTGTTTCTTAGTGAAACTTCTCAAAAGGCACTTTTTAGGCATTCATGGCTTTGTTGTTATGAGAGTTTATAAAGTTTAAATCTGTTTGGTATTTGGTGAAATTGGTTTAAACCCTAGGGTTCCACATTGGCAGTTTTATCTCAGGTTTGAGAAAAATTCTAGCTTAGCACTTAGGAGAAATAGTTTGAAGAATACCAAATAAATCTGGGTTAGTGTAAAGATAAATAAATCTGGGTTAGTATAAACAGGAACATTTGAGGCATGCCTCACATTCTAGATTTGAATGATAGTTTTTTTCTTTGTAATTATTCTATGGTAATTTGTTTAAGTATGAGTTATTAAATACTGTATTTGTTAATGGATTCTTCAGTCTTTTGTTACTGTAAGATTCTGTTTGGTAAAGTACAATCCTAAATGTCTAAATTTGAATTAAGAAGCTATGTGGTTGATACTTGGTAAAATTTATCCAGTAAAATAATTTTGGTAATTAATTCTTGCAGAGCCAGACATAGGCATGCCTGAACAAGATGCTCAGAGGTTCTTCCATCAACTCATGGCAGGGGTGGTAGGTACAGTGGTTTCTTTTCCTTTTACTTCAAATTGGTATGATTAAGGAAGTTCCAAATTCTAGTATGTTTTTCTTTCTCCTCCTTAGGTTTATCTGCATGGTATTGGAATAACTCACAGGGATATTAAGCCAGAAAATCTCCTTTTGGATGAAAGGGGTAAGTTTATCATTGTGTTTGTGATACATTTTAATACAACCACACAAGATCAAGGCTTTTGCATTACATTGGGGCAAAAAATCTGACAAGGAAATTTGAAAGATTCAGTGTATTTAGACTTCACAGATTTTTTCATGACATTGGTGTGGGTGAAGTAGAGAAATCTGACCTAGAACAAAGGTAGTTCACTAGCTGAATAAATATAAGAATAGTTTTCAACAATTTTTAATGAATTAATAAAGTGGGTTTGTTTTGGAATACGCTAGACCTCTGATGGTGAACCTTTTAGAGTTTTCAATAATAAAAATAGCCCGTGATTCACATGCTGTATGTTCACTACTGTTGCCCTGGGGCTTAGACTTATCCTGTTCATCCCCTTTTATCTGACTTGAATAAGATGCAAGATGTTTAGTTTTATTTTGTAGGTGTCATAAAACTGAGAGGGATACGTATGGAGAGTGCTAGCTTACAGAGTTGGAATAAAAAAATGACAGCTATATGAGCCAGTGGTTTTTGTCTCTTGTGTAATGCACTATTCCTACTATTAGACTAGCACCTGATAAAATAGTTGGTGTTTAAAAATATCTGAAAGAATGAATTTAGCAGGCCAAAGAGGTGAGTCAAATCTAGTAAGTTGTTTTCTTTCAGGAAGTCTGAAGTCTTTTTTTTTGAATTATAAATACTAACTCAAGTTTTTGAATGACATGTTCTTGGCAGTGAAAAAGTTTAAAAAAGAAATTTACTAGACAGCAAGCCTAGTACTACTCACCTATGTGATTGGGTCATAGAATACTAAAGTGTTATTATCCAGAATGAGGAGAGTAGCAGTCCGCCACTACTCTGAGTCTACACTGGAAATAAAGGGTTTCTTGGGGTTACAGTTGTGACCTATGCAGAAAAAAAGACTTACTGAAAGAACTCGGGGAAATTTTGCTAATGGTTAAATTTGTTTCTTTGAAACATATTGATGATCACTTCTCAGCCTTTTGGCTAAGATGAAGTGTAGAACGTATTGGTGAAAATGAAAACTAATCAGAAACAATTTGAATTGGTACAGGGATTAATGGTTTTGTCCTAAAACAGAATTAGTTGCTTTGGAATGTAGTAAGTATATAAAATTAGGATCAAACACTGGAGTATTAATGACTAGAGGTACTGTAAAGGGAATTTAGACATTTCTTGACTTGTTTGATTAAAGTACTTTCAAGATCTTGTCCAACACTGAGGTTAATTTAGCTTCCTGTGAGTTATTTTATAAGGTATGTAGCAGAATTTTAGATATTTAGAAATATTTGTACAAGGAAAAAACTAATTTTGAGTCTTCAGACATGGGAGCACAGCATAAGCTGTGAGGAGACCTCCTGCTTCTATTTTTCATGCTATCTCCATTACTTTTGAGTGTTAATAGTCTTGATGTTACCCTCCATTACTCTTCCTCAGTTCCAAGCAAATCCTTTCTTTTTGATTAAATGCAGGTATGAAGCAACACAAAACACTATGGAAAAGGATTACATGTCTCTAATATGAAGGGCAATGTAGAATAGTGTTAAGAGCTTGAGTTTTGTAGTGATTTGAACATAGGTTTAATCCAGGCCGTCTCATTCTAGATGTATGACCTTGGGTAAGTTGCCTAACTTCTATCTGCCTCACTTCCTCATCTATAAAATGGGGATGATAAGAGAATCTGTTTGAATTATGTGTGATTTTTAACATAGTATGTTCCTGCACATAGTAAAAGTTTCTCTCCCTCTATCTGCATACATATATATGTATATATTTACACACACATATCTATACTCATAGCCACATAAAAATATATAAAATAAGTGTATATTTACCTGGCACATAATTGACAGTAAAAAATATGATAGCTATTGTTACTATATAAAATCTAATGTAAATTGAGTCATAGCATATATGCTTTTTTCTTATGCACAGCAATTTTACTTTTTATTGTAATTTTTTTGTTTTGTTTTGTTTTTTGGTCTTTTTGAGACAGGATTTCACTGTGCAGTTCCCACTGGCCATGAACTCATTTTGTAGACTAGATTGGCCTTGAACTCACAGAGATCCTCCTTCCTCAGCCTCCTGAGTGCTGGGATTACCACCATGCCCAGCTCCATCTCATTTTTCACTTTGAGATGAACTCGCACTGAAGTGATGAATTGTACAGACTAGGATTGAATTTGAAATTCTGTTCCAATCTCCTAGAGTCCTTGGATTGTATGTGTGTGTACTGTGTCCAGCTACTTTTCACTCTTGGCATAAAAATATTTTTATTTAAAACTAAAACATTAAGCCCACAGAAGTTTTTGTGAAATAGACATTAATATAAGCACCTATGTAACCACTTGTCTTAAAAATAGAACAGTGCTATTGTATAAGAATGTTCAGATGGTGGTATTTAGTAGAAAACTGTAAACAACCTAAATGTCTACAGCAATAAGATAGATAATTGAGTGGAGTGGTGCATGCCTCTAATCCTTAGCGCTTGAAGAGATTGAGGTGGGAGCTGACAAGTTTAAGTCCTACCTAGGCATTTTAGTAAGACTGTCTTAAAATAGAAATGACTGAGGATATATCTCAGTGTTACATAGATGTCTAGTACCACACACACATAAAAGGGTTAGGTTTTGAAATAGATAATTTATAGTTATAAACACGACATGCATACATTTCAGGAATATAAGGATATAGAAAAGGGCACTGGCAAAATAATTCCTATGATTTATTTTTATGAAGTTCAGAAATGTGTAAAATCAGTGCAGTGAAGTCTAGGTTCACAAACTTAATTTTTTCTATGATTTTGGGAAAGATGGCCATGTGTGTGTTGTGTGGGAAAGATTACTACAGTCATGTTTGTCACCTGGTAACAGCTTGAAAACAAAAACAAAGTTTTGCCAAATGCTTCTGTTTGGGAACCAAATTGTTTGCAAACGAAAGCGTTTATGAACTGGGTTCCACTATATATTACTTAGGAATACAAACAAGGAAAAGAATCACACAAAAAAGCAAAAGAATAATAAAAGGAGAAGGAAGGGGGATGGGAAAAAGCAGCAAAATGTAGCTCGTACAGGTACCAATTCTCTGTGATGAGTGTTACCAATATGTATATCTAAAAAACATGCCAATAAAATGGAAAGAAAATGAAAACGATGGGTGCCTCTGAGAGGTCAGGGGAGGGAATGCATTTAAGATAGCAATTATGAGGGATTTCCAGGAAGTGGAGTGCCATTTTTCTTAAGTAGGTAATGGGGGAGTAGATATTCATGATGTTGTGTTGCATAATATGTAAGTATTTTGTTTCTATTCAGTATTTAATAATTTTTTTTAAAGAAACAAAATGTTACCTATATTTTATCTTTCTGTTTTCCTTCATAAATATATTCCCCCTTTCTATATTATTGAGGTAATCATATTCCTTAATTTTGAATTTATTACATACAGTTCTGTGTTCTAACAAAATATTAGGTTGTTGCCATAAAACCATAGCATTCAAAGGATATACTATGGTACTCTATTAGTTTAAGTGATTATAACTTACAGGTAATTTGTAACTAAGTGTCAAGGGTTTGTCCAGATATTAACATGGACCTAATAAAAGATTGGAATCATAAAGTTACCTCCCAAAGTCAAATACAGATAAATATCATCAATTGCTTACATGTTATATTCTGAGTGTACTTGAGTTTTAAAGTCAATCCTGTGTGAGGACGTTTGAATTGTTTTAAACTTAATAACAGAACAACAGTGATTTCTATAAAGCTGTGCATAGGTCCAGTACAAAAATTGGATTGTGTTATAATAAGTACTAGTATTCCTCTGCCGTTTTCCCCACTTATATCCTCTTCCATATTAGTGCATGTAGATATACCTTGTTTTTAACTGCCTTCGTAGTTTTTATTATACACGTGCATTGTAAGATTTAGTCATTTATTGATGGACATTTAAGTTATTAAAAATAATGTTGCTTTTTTTTCCTTATGAAATCGGGAATTGAACCCAGGGTTTTATGCATGCAAGGCAAGAAGTCTACCACTGAGCTATATTCCCAACTCCCCAAAATAGTATTGCTATGAATAACCTTACCTTTGTAAAATTTAGAGTTTATTTCTGTGTATATGGTTCTAGAAGTGGGAATTGCTAGTTCTAAAGAGTAAATGGATCAGATTTTGCTATCTTTGGCCAAATTGGCCTCTGATTAGATTGTAGATTGTAGTTGTTGGGGAGTTAGGGTTTTCCTAACTCCTGTATGACTAGTGCAGCATCTGTCACTTGGGTGCCGCAGCCATTCACTAGGTGTAAGTTGAAAGTCTTTACGTGCGGTTTGTGTATACTGAAGATAGGAAGGCAGGGGAAAGTTTTGAGTTTCTGATTTGTTTGTTGTGCGGCACTTCTTATCCTTTCTTCCCTCTCTCAGTTTTGCTACTTTGACAAGAAGTTATTGTTTCTAAATCTTCAATTTGGAATATCCTGACATACTTGTCTCAACAGGTCTCTTGTCAGCTGAGTTTGTTTACTGTTTGTGAAAGCTGTGCCTAACATTACAAGTCTCCTTTCTGCCTTTCATACTTCCTGATTCCTGTCACATAACCCAAGTCTGTGGTGTCTAGTGTCTTTTGACTAGTGTCTTTAATCTCATCCATACTGTTTTGTATGTTCATAATATTTCTCTTAAGTCAACAGAAAAGATGAAGCCTTCTTGAGTTTTTGCATAGATGATATCTTTTCATTTTCTTTTTAAAATTAAAAAAAATTTTGGATCATTTTAAGGTAGGATATTCTATAAACCTTAAGTAACATCAACAATATTTCCAGTAAGCTCTAATTTCTGTAAGTATATATGTTTGCAGATTTCATTATTCAGTGCCTGTTTTTTCCTTTTCATTTAGATAACCTCAAAATCTCTGACTTTGGCTTGGCCACAGTGTTTCGGCATAATAATCGTGAACGTTTATTGAACAAGATGTGTGGTACTTTACCTTATGTTGCTCCAGAACTTCTAAAGAGAAAGGAATTTCATGCAGAACCAGTTGATGTTTGGTCCTGTGGAATAGTGCTTACTGCCATGTTGGCTGGAGGTAAAAGCCATTTGATCATGACTAAACTTCTGTCTTATGGGAAGTCAGATTCAGATTTGCCTACCAAAGGAAAGCCATATTTATATAGTACTCTTTTATTACTTTCTTAACCAGTTTGGACTACTATAACACAGTAACAGACTATAGGTGCTTGCACAAAACAGATTTCAATTTCAGAAATTCTAGAGGCTAGAAGTTTGTGTCAGTGTACAGGTGTGGTTATGATTAGGTGATCACCCTCTTCTGGCATGAAGATGAAATGGCTGTCTTACTGTATCCTCTATACCTACTATATACCTACTATATGTTTGGAACTAGTTTGTGTTCTCTAAAATCGAAGAATAAATTTTACAAACAATGGAGGTTAAGAGCAGAAATATTTATTGAGAGAGAAAGCTTCTGTCTGAGAGACAGAAGGGGTCCCTAGTGGGTTGCCAAAGATTCTGTATTTTCTTGGGATTTTTATAGAGTAAAATCACGAGGTGAGGCAGTTCTAAAGTTGGGGAAAACTGGCAACTTGTAATGTGGATTGGCATGAGGTGGGACAGAGCTATGTTTAGCCAATAAGATTAATGGTTCAGGTGAAATTGATTAAATTTGGAACAAATGGGGAAGAGAGTCATGTAGAAAGATGGCCTTCTTAGCAGTGACTCTTCCCTAGGGATTGGAATGGTGACTCCTGATTGCTCAAGGTGATCCAAATTTAATCCCTAAGGATTATACTTAAGAATATGGTTACATTTGTTTTGCCTTCTGTCCTGAGATATGGCTCACAGCTAGAGATGTGTGTTTCCTCCAAGATCATCATATGTCTGGTCCTCTGTACTGCTTCTTTGAGGGCCCAGCCCTGTCTGCCTATAATATTTCTAACTAGCTCAGCTGCCTGTAACAACAGCAGGGACAGCAAAGTAAGCTACTCAGCATTTTTCTTATAGCGACATAGATCTCTTTGTGAGGGCTTCCACCTTCAGAGACCTGATAACTTCCCAAAAACCTTGTCTCTAAATGCTGCACTGTGTTGTGGGTCACAGTTTCAGTAATACAGCTAGCTTGGTGTAAGTGCCTGCCTGGCAAGCAGGAAGTCATGAGTTTGATCCCTGGTATCTAAATAAATAAATAATTAAGAATTTCAGTAATATGAATTATTTGGGGGAAACAAACATGTTTATAATCCCAAAGGTTTTTAAAGTAAGGCATATGTAGCTATTAAATGAATTTTTTTTGATACCAAGAATCGAATTTAGGACCTTGTGCTAGCCAGGCAGGTGCTTATGCAATTAAGGCATATACTCAACCGTAAATGAATTTAAAATATTTTTTAAAAATGAATAATCCCAACAGCCAGCTCATTTTAGTTTCATGTAAACACTTTAAAATTGTTTGTTTGCTTATTTATTTATTTTTTTGAGACAAGGTTTCACTATGCAGTTCAGGCTAGCTTTGATCTGTGTAGCCAGGCTATCCTTGAACTCTCAGTGATCCTCCTGCCTCAGCATCCTGAATGCAGGTTATAGGTGTGTGCCACCTAAGTGATTACATTTATCATGTGAAATTGGAAACCTATTTTGATTCTTTTCATTTGCCCTTCTCTTCCCTCTAATCCCTAGATCCCTTTCCCATTTGAAAAAGGTTTATCACCCTGGTTCCTCTTATCTGTCTTTTATTTATAGGGCAAAAAATGGTTCATCTGTCTTTGAGTGCCTTTAAAGTTTCTTTTTTTTCTGAGATAGGGTCTTGTGATGTAGTTCAGGCAGGCCTCCAACTCACTATATAACTCGACTGGCCTCAAATTTGAGGCTGGGTTTACAGATGTGTGCCTCTATGCCACAGTGCACACAGTCTGTATTTGATAATGTGTCTTTTTTTGGTTTGTTTGTTTGTTTTCTTGAGACAGGATCTCAATATGTACTTCAGGCTCACTATGTAGCCTGGAGTGGCCTTGAACTTGTGGTGTTCCTTTTGCCTCAGCCTTCTGAGTGCTGGGATTACAGGCATGTGCCACTGCACCTGGCTTTTTTTTTTTTTTAACTAATATGTGTCTTTAATGTTCATTGAGTGATGGCCCGGCTTCTTATTATGTAGTTTTTTAGTTTGGAAAGCATATTGAATTAGTTTGAAGGAAATGTTTTATAGAGTTGTATATTGATTATTTTCTCTTGAAATCTTTACTATATAACTATATGAATACTCAGAAAACTGTGATTCATTTCTTTTTTAGAATTGCCATGGGACCAGCCCAGTGACAGTTGTCAGGAATATGTTGATTGGAAAGAAAAGAAGACGTATCTCAACCCTTGGAAAAAAATTGATTCTGCTCCACTAGGTGACTGGGTTATCTTGATTAAAATTACTGATTTCTTGGATAATGAATATAATCTGAATTTTTTTAAACAAATAATTACATAAGTTTTAAATAAGTCAGAAAATCAAATAAAAATTGAGAAAACACTGGGTGAGGTAGCATATGCCTATAATCCCAGCATTCAGAAGGCTGAGGCAAGAGAATCACTGTGAGTTCAAGGGCTGCCTGGGCTACATAATGAGTTTAAGGCCAACCTGAATTACATAGCAAGACCTTGTCTCAAAAAAACAAATTAAGAAAAAAATCTTATCCCTGAATACAAAAATAGCCTTTGGAAAATATTTTGATATGTACACTGTGCTTTGCTATAAACATATATATAAGATGTGCCTATTAGGTGTGTATATTATTGTGAATATATGTTAACAAAAAATTAAGTCATTCACAATTTTTTTTACCTGTGTTTTGTTATTCATGTTCTGTGAACATTTTCTGTGTCTATATCATTGTTTTTGGTACTGGGAATCAAACTCAGGACCTTGCACTTTCCAGGCAGGAGTTGGTCTTCCTGAGCTAAATTCCTAGCCCTACGTCATTTTTAAAGGCTGTTATGGTATTCTGCAATATGGATGACCTCATTGCTGAGTTTTGCTTTGTCAAAAATTTGGATTTTTTTTTTCCTAAGTACTCAGTGTTGTATAAGAAATATAATCTTTGCTCATAGCCTTGTAATTATTTAACTTACAGAAGCAAAATTGCAGGGTCAAGTATGTAAATAGTTTTAAGTACCAGGATTTATTTTGCCAAATTATTTTCCAAAGAGTTTGTATCATTTTGTAGTGTTATCACTATCTCATCAGTTTATATTGAAAAATTAACTATTTAACATTTTCTAATCTTTAATTTTGTTATTTTTGGTTTCTGACTACATAGTTATACTTAGAAAGGTCTTTTTTAATCCCTAATTTTTTTTAAACAATCCTCTGTTTTCTCTTAGTGCTTTTATGCCTTTAATTTTAAGTCTTTTGTTCGAAAATAATTTTGGTATTGGAAGACAAATGCATTCTTTTAAGAAAATACATATATATTACAGCATGTGTGTTTTAATGTGGTATTTTCAAATGTGCATAACATTTTGGTCATCTCCATTCCTTCACGATGTATGAATTCTTTATCAGGATAATTAAAATGATTTAGGATGATAGTTAGTTATCTGTACTGTCTCCTAACAAGTTACTGATGAGTAAGCTTTCTTTATAAAACTGTGAATGAAGAAATGTAAGAACATGACAGAGCAATGAAATCTAGTATTTGTAACAGGTAAAAATTTGGTTTATTCTGCTTTTTAGTATCTCATTAAATGTTGCATGGTAAGAAATATTTCCCCTTGATTCTTATTCTGCTTGTTCAAAAGAATTGAGAATTAAGAGTCTGAAAAGAATATTCTAAAGCAGAGACAGTAACAAAGAATAGCTGCATGAAATTAAAGCAATAATTTGGTAGATTTATTCTTTTCTTTCCCCAGAAATAATATTTAGAAATAAGGAGGCCAAAGAGGATGTATTCCTTAAAAGTCCTAGACTTTTCTAATCTGTGTGACTCTTTCGTAAATGTTGTTTTTAGCTCTGCTACATAAAATCCTAGTTGAAAATCCATCGATCAGGATTACCATTCCAGACATCAAAAAAGATAGATGGTACAATAAACCACTCAAGAAAGGTAATATTCTTCTTCTTCTTCTTTTTTTTTTTTTTTTTTATTATTTAAAGAAAGACAAAATAGAAAACGGGCAGAAATAGTACATATTTTCAAAGAAAAGAAATGAACAGTAATAAATCACTAGTTGATATATACATATTGTCCCCCCACAAATAGTTGTTCAAGGTACAAAAGTGGAACATATAAATGGGAATTCAACCAGGGAGACTGCAAACAGTTCTATTCAACTATCCAACAAAAACTAAGTAATATGGCTATCAATCCTATATACTTAGACATGTACACATTTATCCATATCTTCATTTATGTTGAGACCTAACAAAATGTAGTAGATTAAAAACCTTCTGAACAAAGATTAATAATAATGCTGGATTTCACATCATAACACTCCAGAATCAGCTCTGGGTACTGCACTGCCCCTTTCTTTCCTTCCAAGTATTTCTTCATTTCATCATGTGTCATAAGATCAGTTCTCATAAACTGTTTATAGGTTTTACACAAGCATGAGTCTTAACATGTATTTCTATCCAAGAAAGGTAATATTCTTAAAATTTGATCACTTTTCTCTATGAAAAAATGTTACTTGCCCCGGGCCTGGTAGTATATACCTGTAATCCTAGCACTTAAGAGGCTGGGGTAGGAGAATTTTAGTGAGTTTGAGGCCAACCTAGGCTACATAGTTCAAGGACAACCTGAACTACCTATGTAGTGAGACCTTGTTTTAAATAAAAAAATAAGCGGGACGTGGTGCCTCACATCTGTAATCTCAGCATTTGGGAGATTGAAGCAGGAGGATGGTCAAGAGTTGGATACCAACCTGGGCTACAAAGTGAGCTCAAGGCCAGCATGAACTGTGTAGTGAGATGCTGTCTTAAAAAGATGGGAAAAAAAAAGTGTAAATCAAAAAATAAAAGAAGGAATGTTATGTACTAAGTTGGTATCACAAGTTAACAAAAGTTTGATCTCTATCCTGGTGGAACTTATAATGTCTAAAAACAAATATAAAATGTAGTTTTGTTTATTAATAACTACTAAGGGAAGGCTGAGGTACTGTAACTAAGCATTTGATCAAATCTTAAGTCTTAAATAAATTTTCTTCCTGAGGAAATGACCTGAAATCTAAGATTTCTTAATGTGAGAAGCCAAAATAAACATATGTATATGTATATAAGAAAATAGTTGATAGTTTAAAAAAAAAAGAAATTAAGATTTCCAGATTAAAGAGGAGGTAATCAGGAAATGTGAGCCACACATAGGATTTTGAGCAGAGGAAGCATTCAGAAAATGCACTATTAGATTTATTAAATCCGGAGCATCTGAGGAACTTGGAAGGTGGTCATTATGGCATGAACCTCATCAGTATTCTCTCTCTCATCAGTGGTTAGTGTATTTGAGGTGCATCATAGACACTCAGTGTTTGTGAAGTAAATGATTAAAGAGGAGGAAGAGGGAGAGCATCTTTTGAAATGGTATCTGCTAGGCAGATAGCAGCCAGGTTACAGGGATGGAGGCCTTGGGTATGAGGCTAAGAATTCTGGGCTTTAGCTTAAGCCCATTAAGAAAACTTTTGACAGATGTTAAGAAAATGTCAAGGCTGTGTATATTTAGTTTAACTGTCAAGTCTCTATGATTGTGGTTACAACTCTTTCTTTTCATTCCTCCCTGCCTCATATTGGAGTCTGAACTCACTATCTTGAGCTTGCCAGGCAGGTCTTATGCCTCTGAGGTATATCCTGGGCCAGTTTTCGTTGTTTCTGATGACTAGGAAGAGATTAGGAGTGCTATCAGCTTTTACAGAAGTGGTTTAGGTATGAGAAGACAGTAGTTGGAGTAGGTGAGCAGTAGTAGGGCTGCAGAGAAGGAAATGCAAAGACTTTTAAGGACCAAAATTGACTGGTGATTATTTAGATAAGGAAAATGATAGTAATGCACTACCAAGGATGACTCCAAGGTTCTGGTTTTGGTGACTCTAGTTTGAGAAAATTTTCCTTTTATTTTGGTTTTGATTTTTGTTTTTATTGAGACCAGCTCTTGCTATGTAGTTCAGGCTGGTTTTGAACTCACTGTGTACCTCACGCTGGATTTGAATTTTTGGCGATTCTCCTGTTTCAGCCTCCCAAATGCTGGGAGTATAGATGTGTGCCACCTTGCCCAGCTGGGAAAATTTTGTTTAATTTTGAATTTGAGGAGCTGAGTTAAAAACTGGGTAGGGTGTGTGTGTGTGTGGGTGTGCGCGGTATAATCCAGGAAATAAGACTGATATTTCAGTTTGGGAAGTAAAGCATGGTGGTAAATGAAATTAAGTAGAGGGAATTTTAAGGAACACCAGTATTTAAGTGATTGGTGGAGACCAGGGAAACAAAGAGGAGAGAGAGGGGACAGGAATGTCTGGAGAATATGGAATAATGGATCAGTAACATGAAGCCTAAAATTTGTCCAAGATACTCCATGACATGGTTACTCCTGATGGGGCAAGAAAGTTTTACTGCAAAGTTGGGAGTAAATTCCAGATCACAGTGATTGTAGTGTAGAAGGAAGGTAAGGTTTTTAGAGAGGGTCACTGTAGACAGCTCACTCAAGAAGTCTGGCTTTGAGACAGAGAGGAGAAGACAGCAGCCAAGGGTGGACAAGGAATTTTTAAGTTAATTCTTCTCTGACTGTGACCTTCACCTTTTTGTTCTTAGTGTCCATTTCACCCCTGAGGACACTGCTTCCTCTGAAGCAGTGGATCTGTTCCGTCTGATACCCTCATAGCTTTGAGTTCGGAAGTAGAGCAGGTGTTTGATACGCGTCTTGACCCTTGTTTTTTTATTTTTTCCCAGTATTAGAGGCTGAACCCAGGGCCTCCACGTTGAGCTCTAACTCCAGCCTTTTTTATTTTGTGGCAGAGTCTTGCTAAATTGCCCAGGTTGGGCTTGACCTTGCAGTCCTGATTCAGCCTCACAGTGCTGGAGTTGTAGGCATCACATGAGGCTCCTTGTTCTTCATTGGGCCTTTTTTTCCTACATTGCTTTTCCTTTTTTTTTTTTTTTTTTTTTTTTTTGAGGCACAGTTTTACTATGTAGTTCAGACTGGCCTTGAACTCACTGTGTAGCCTAGGATGGCCTTAAACTCATGGCAGTCCTCCTGCCTCAGCCTCTTCTCTCCTTTAAATCTCGTATTACCCTGATGCTGCCATTCACTATTGCTCCTTAGCACAATTTTAACCATGAGTTTGCAGTAGCATCGTTTTCTTTATAATGATTATTCTTAGTAATTATTCTAGGGAGCAGTGTGTTACATAGGGAATATTTATGTTTATTGCTATTACATTAAATTCTTTTTTATTTTAAAATGTTCTGGTCCTTTAACTAGATCTCTTCATTTTTATAGAACACTATTGTGTTACTCATAAAAGATATCATTACGTTGTGCTTTTAGCATGATAACCCACAGTTAAAACACACTTAAAGGTTACAATTGGTGAAGCATGTAATTTTCCAAGTGAGTCTTAGTAAATTCATAGCCTGACCACCTTTCTTGTAAAATCATGTACAAAAACCCATTGTTTGTTTTCTATGTACTTTGTTTGCATTAAGTGTATTTCAATATAGTTTTACTTATTCAAGTTGCTAGTTAGATTAATTAAAAAGCATCTACATAGAAGGCTTAAAAGGAGTTGTGTTGTTTTCTGTTTTAGGAGCAAAGAGACCCCGGGTCACTTCAGGTGGTATGTCAGAGTCTCCTAGTGGATTCTCTAAGCACATTCACTCAAATTTGGACTTCTCTCCAGTAAACAGTGCTTCTAGGTAAGTTAATAAAGAAAGATTAAGTAGTTATGAATATAGAATTCCTCAAGAAGAATAATGCATGCATATATGTTTCTTAATTATAAACACAATTTTTTCAGGATGAGGATGATTGTTATAAGAAAGACCTGGTAGATTTTATTTAAAGATATTTCTATTGAGCATGACGCCCTATGTCTGTAGTCTTAGCTACTACTGTACTTGGGAGACTGGGCAGAATGATAGTTACTTGGAGCCTATGTGCATAACATGTTAAGATATGGTCTCAAAGAACAAAAGTACCTGAAGCAGAGAAAACTGAAGACGTGTTTTTCTGTCTGTCTTAATTTCTCAGTGAAGAGAATGTGAAGTACTCCAGTTCTCAGCCAGAACCACGGACGGGTCTTTCCTTATGGGATACCTGTCCCTCGTACATCGATAAACTGGTACAAGGGATCAGTTTTTCCCAACCCGCATGCCCTGATCATATGCTTCTGAATAGTCAGTTAGTTGGCACCCCAGGATCTTCACAGGTAAGGGAATTTAATTTTTTAAATGAACAATGTTGGTCTTATTTTGATTTTGATTGTCTTTTAAGTCTTTTGTTCATGTAGAAATCTTAAATATTTTTAATTTGTATATTTTTTTGTGCAAGGAAAAATTAGAGGACTCTTTCATGGAAAAGGCTCTCCAATCATAGAAAAAAAATTTCAGGCTAAGTAACTGTGATATCTCTGGTTTGGGTCATTGTGGATTTATTTAGCTTTTCTCTTTGACATGCAGAACCCCTGGCAGCGGTTGGTCAAAAGAATGACACGTTTCTTTACCAAACTGGATGCAGATAAATCTTACCAGTGCCTGAAAGAGACTTGTGAGAAGTTGGGCTATCAATGGAAAAAGAGTTGTATGAATCAGGTATGTGTTGTTGATTTTATGTATTTTTCTGCAGAAAATTAAAAATTTGACTACAAACTATCATTAGTATTTAATATTTCAAAAATAATTCAAATTTGAAAAATAATTGAAATTGAGGTCCAGGGATGTAGCTCAGTGATATACTGCCTGCCTGGCAAGTGTGAGGTCCTAAGTTCAATTCTTTGTACCAGAAAAGAACCCCTTCTTCCAAAAAAGACCCCTTAAAAAAAGAAATTGAAAAAATTTTATTGATTGATTGATTGTCTTTTTGAGACAAGGTTTCACTTTGCAGTTCAGGCTGGACTTAAACTGATTTTGTAGCCTGGGCTGGCTTTGAACTCTCAGAGATCATCCTGTTTTAGCCTCTCGAATGCTGGGATTACAGGTGTGTGCCACCACGCCTGGCTATTTATGTATATTTTAAAAAGACAAGGTTTTATTGTGTAGTTCAGGCTGGCCTCCAATTCATGACCATTCTCCTGTCTCAGCCTCCTTATTGAAGAAATTGAAAAAATTTAAATAAAATGCTCTTTATCTTAAATAATATTTCTGGAAAATACTTAAAGTATCAGCCAAGTGTAGTGGCACACAACTTGAAATCCCAGCACTGAGGAGGTTGAGGCAGGAGAATGATGAATTTGGAACCAGGTCGTGCTATATAGTCAGCTTAGAAAATAAATAAAACATTAAATAGGTGGACTCCTTACTTAAAAACTATATATAGTTAATTGTAATAGTTGACTGCCCTCTGTGGAAGAAGTATAGGAATAAACCTCATACTTCTTCCTGTTGCTCCTAATCCTACTCACCAGTTTTTGTTTATATTATTGTAGCATAGTTGTAACACTGGCATTCTAATCTATATTTAGGATTTTGAAGAAACAGTTACACTGTATTAAAGGAGATTTAAGAGGCCTGAAAACTAAATCAAATATATGGCCTTTCACTAGTTTACTGTTGGTGAACCTTTTGGAGCTTTCAGTGAAGAAGCCTGCAGTGACACATGTGCCGTAGGTTCTCCACCACTACACTAGATCTTAGATAAACAACTGTAAAGGATGTTATCAGTACAAAATGGGCTGATTTTTAGGTCAGGTGGTGGGATGATGATACTATGTAGAGAATGTCTTTGTAAGGTAGAGGTTCTTTAAAGACCATAAGAACATTCTAAACGAAAGAAGTAGAAGTTGCAAGACCTCTCCAGATCTTTTCATCATTTTTTAATTTTTTTAGGATAGGGTCTGTGCAGCCCAGGCTGATCACAAACTTGCAATGATCTTCCTGCCTCACCTTCCAAGTATGGGGGGTACAGGTGTGCCCTACCACATCTGGCTAGCCTCTCTTTTTCTTTTTCATATTGTAATAATATTGTTCCTGTCTATATATTATTCTTTGTTTCTTCTTTCAGTTTTATTTCTTTGTTGGTTAAGGGTTCCCATGAATGCAGTTCCTATTTACAGGTTGTTTGGTTTGGACACACAGCACTCCTGCTTTAGAAGTACACTACAAATTTTTATCTCACAAGTCTCATTGACCTGAGATATATATCTCACAAGTCTCATTGACCTGAGAATATAATTTTATTCTAGGAATATTTTCTACTCATGCGTATAGCTTAACCTTATTTTTGTTGCCTTAGGTTACTGTGTCAACAACTGACAGGAGAAACAATAAACTGATTTTCAAAGTGAATTTGGTAGAAATGAATGAGAAGATATTGGTTGACTTCCGGCTTTCTAAGGTACTTTTGATAATTTTGTTATGCTATTCTTCTTATGGAAATATTTCTGTGTGGATTTTTAGTGGCATTATTCTTACATATAGTTGTCTTCCTACCTATAGTTTACTTTCTGCAGTTTCAGGTCAACGGTAGTTAGACCATAACAAATGCAAAGTTCAGAAATAAATACTTCATAAGGTTTCAGATAAGTGCAGGGTACTTGGGCATCTAATGCGGACAGGTTGAGTACCACAATTTTAAGTCCATCCTGGGCAACATAGTAAAACCATGTCTCAAAAAGAGTTGGGGGTGAAGCTCAGTGGCAGTGCGCTTGTTTGGCATAGGCAAGATCTTGGATTCAATCCCCAGTCTTACTCCTTGGCCTTCCCAAAATAGAATATAATTCTGAGTAGCATGATGAAATCTCGTACTGTCCCTCTCCCTCCTAGCAGGGTATGAATCATCCTTTCATCTGTCATAAAAATCTTACGCATAGATTTTTGTTTATGTTTTATATTGGCTTTTATTCATTAATTATTTTGATTATCAGATTAAATGTCACAATATTGCAGTACATAATGTTCAAATAGTCTGTTTTACTTAAGAGTGGTACCAAAGCACAAGCATAGTAATGCTGCAAGTTTATTATTTATTTATCTTTTATCTGTACGTTTGTAATACATAGGAATTTGAGGGGAGTTGGTACATAAACATGACACATCTTAATCCCCCCCCGTCTCTAGATCCCTTTCCCATTTGCAGAAGATCTACTTGATTCCTATTATCCATCCAATATTTTGCTCTTAAAATTACTTATTCTTTGAATTTCTCATATTTGAGCTTGGTATCTGACTTAATTCACTTAACACTGTGGTCTCAAGGTACATCCATTTTCCTACAAGTCACTAAATTTTCCCTTCTTCATGGCACAATTATATTCTTAATAGAGTATTATATATATATAGAGAGAGTATTTTATATATATATAGAAAAAACAATTTCTTTAATTGGCCATCTGTTGATGGACATATAGCCTCTTCTATGATTTAATTTTTGTGAGTTGGGCTGCTATAAACATGGGTATGCATGTGTCACTGTCTATAATGTCTTCAGCTTTTTTGAGGCGATACCTAGAAGGGGAATAGCTGGGTTAAGTGGAATTTCTATTATTAGTTTTTTGAGAAATCTCCATACTGAGTGCCATAGTGGTTGTGCTAGTTTATTATCCTATTGGCAGTATAGAAATATTTTTTCCCCTACAACTTCATTGCTAATAGTTTTCAGTATGTTTTATTATTAGTTATGTTGCTAATCTCTTACTGTGTCTAAAGCCAATCAAAATAAAACAATGTGACACAGGACTTCAAAACAATAGAAAATCAATAATGGTTACCATAATGCCTCTTGTCTTCAGAAGAGCTGCAGATCTTTCAGACATAGTAAAAATCAAACAAGACAAAACAGGTAAGAACCAGTAAAAACAAAACAGTGAATGGAATAAAGATTTCAAAACACGATAATAGCAAATCCCAAATGGCTACCATAATATATCTTACCTTTGAAGTAGCTGCTCATGCTATCGGGTATAATAAAATCAAACGAAATAGAATAAAATCCAGCCCAACAAAACAATGAAAATGATACAGGACTTTAAAATAAGACGATAGGGAATTAACAATGACCACCACCGGGGCTGGGGATTTAGCTCAGCGGCATAAGCACCTGCCTTGCAAGCAGGCAGTTGTGAGTTCAATCCCTGGTACCAATAAAAACAAAAAAGGCAAAAAAAAAAATGACCACCACCTTCAGAAGGAGATCCCCACTAGATGCTGCACTATGTACCATTATCCTCTGAGTAGATAATCAGACCACGGGCCCTAACACCTGTAAAGTCAGTGAAGCACCACACACCAAAAGCATCAAATCGCATTTCACCTCAATATCCATCATTGCAGCCTGAGTTTCTCCAGATGAACTGGCTGCTTACTGGGGTGGGAGTGGGGTATTGGTGGTCCTTGTTTCCCAGCCCCCTGCAGGAAGGGCCTGGGGTCTGGCTGTCCCTCTGGCAGCCTGCACATGGCACTGGTTTGCAGGGAGGGTTTGCTTCTTGTTGACTTCTTGTTCTCCTTTGTATTTGTAAGTACATGATAACTTGTTTTTTTTCATTTAATATTATAAACTGTTCTCTCAAATCAGTTTTTTGCCTGACACTATTATAAAAGTTTTTGGTTTTTACAGACAAATACATATAAAGAATAAAAACAATTGTAAATTATGCTTCTCAGAAGTAATCACCTTTAGTATTTTGAAATATTTGAATTTTCTTTTAATTCATATATATTTTTTCTTTATAATTCAATGAACCTTTATTTCAGTAATTCTGTGATTAATATTTTTAGAGTTTTGTTCACATTTCTGATTGTTTGTTTTTTGGTACCAGGGATCAAACTCATAACCTTGTGCTTGCCAGCAGGTACTGGTGCCATTGAGCTAAACCCCGGCCCTATTTCTAGTTTTAAAATTATTGACATGTGCAAGATGACAATAGTGTTTTCTTCATTTCCTGTGAGATTAAATAAACATGGCTCTAAAGACAGTTGGAGGGCTAGTTCTTTATATTAGATATATGCTAGCATACTGCTTTCTATTGTTTGCTGTGGATTTATGAAAGATTCTACTTTAATGAAATCCTTCTCATTTGTTGATTTTGTTGCCATAGTATTGTGTCAGAAAAATTGTGTGACTTAGTTTTAGAATACAAATCCTTACTCCCTGTGAAAATCTCAGATCTAATGTCTAGTGATACTAACTCTTGAAATAGTGACTTTGTTACTTTTCTCATTGCTGAGACAAAATATTTGACACCCAAAATTAAAAGAGGAAAGGTTTACTTAGCTTACAGTTTGTGGAGATTTCAGTCCGTAATCAGCTGGCTGCACAGCAGGGTGGTGTGGTTGAAGGACACCTGTTCATAGTGGCAGAAGGTGCAAAAGGAACCATAGCAAAAAGCGAGGATCAAGCCTCTTTTCTTCCCTTATGTTGTATGCAGGCTACTTGCTCTAGAGTTGCCTCTCTGCACCCTGGGTGTAGACTTACAGAGTCACTTAGTTTAAGCTTCTGAAATTTTCAAGTTGACCCAGTGTATTAACCATTACAATCCACCTCTTGTCAATTTGGCAACCAGACACATTTCTTTAAACTGGTCTCCAGATATGAAGACATGCTTATAATTATGCCCACTGTGTTTTAATTATCCTGTGTACAAACAAAAATGCACTAATTCCCTCATCAGAATAGAAGGTAAGTTTTTTGGGGATGATGCTTATTCCTGTCATTTCACAATTTGAACATTTTAACACAGGTTTAACAATCCTTAAGAACCAGTATCAAGTCTATGATCATTATATTACATTAAAACCATAACATCCTACCCTTTTTAACTGCACAGCTCTGGCATTCTGCGTGTGCCTAAAACCACCATGTGAATGCTGCCAAGGTCTGCTGCCAGCTGGAGTGGTAACCAGGCTTTTCTCTGGAGTGCCTGGGTCGCTGAACACTCTGAATCCAAATCTGAGGAGTAAATTTTCTGTACTACTGCCATTCTGGAATATGGTGCTCACTGGCTTTCTCCTCAGAGCAAAGTCTTTCATCTTTGCAGTTTTGAGTCTGCAGTGGATGGAGATTTGCTGTTTCTTGTGATGCCCTCAGGCCATCTTCTATATTTCCCATTTCTCTTCAGCAGTCAAGATTTCCTGAGCTCTATCTTTATACACCACAGTTTTACCGGAACTTCCTTTCTGATCAAACTCAATGTTTTAAATCATTCTGCTGGGCTTTTTTGGTCGTGATTCTCAACATAGATCTGGCTAAAAGCCCCAGGAGTAGCCATGCCACAGCCTCAACATTTGAATGCCTTAAAATTTCTTCTGCCAGATAGTCCACCACCTTTATTCTTAGTCTCAGGCAAAGTCTCTAGACATAAGCAAGATGCAGACAAATTTTCTGCCAAGCCATCACATATGTCATCTGGAGTCCAGCAACCAATGCAGTCCTTCACAGCAGAAACCTCTTGAGCCTGGTCTTTCCCAGTTTTCTGATCTTCTGAGCTGTGATTAGAATCTCCAATACAGAACAACCTCTTTCTAGCAGCATCTCTGAGCCTTTCCAAACTCTTCGCACAAGCCATTTCCAAAGGCTCTTGAATCACATGGTCAAGTATAGTCATAGCAATGACCAAATTCTGTCTTAGTTAATTTTCTCATTGCTGATACAAAATACCTGACACCCAAATTTAAGGAGGAAAGGTTGATTTAACTCACAGTTTGTGGAGGTTTCAGTCTGTAATCAGCTGGCTCCAAGGCAGGGTGGCACAGCTAAAGGGGTGACGCACAAGCTAAAACGGGGAAAACCTGTTCTCTTGCCTTACATTGTACGCAGGCTACCTGCCCTAGGGTAGGCCCTCTACATCCTAGGAGGTAGAATTGCTGAGTCATTTAGTTAAGCTTCTAAACTTTTTCAGGTTGATAAGTGAACCAGCCAATACAGACAGGATGCTATTTTTTCTACTTTCTGAGTTCAGTGTGGTGGGAACAGTGAAGAACACATAATAACAGTGAAGAACACATAACTATTTATGTAACCATTTCCTCTGTAATAATATTTAATCTTAGTGGGTATAGGGTATTGTAGCTGGTCATATCTAAGAATGTTTGTTTCTACTTATCAGGAAAGAGTTTGATTTTATGCCATAATTTCCTTTTCTCTAATATTATTTTTGTATATCATTTCTACTATAGGGTGATGGATTGGAGTTCAAGAGACACTTTCTGAAGATTAAGGGGAAGCTGAGTGATGTTGTGAGCAGCCAGAAGGTTTGGCTTCCTGCCACATGATCAACCTATACCCCTGGGTATTGCTGGTGAATATAGTGCTGCTATGTTGACATTATTCTTCCTAGAGAAGATTATCCTATTCTGCACACTGCGAACAATCATTGCTGAAGAGTTTTCTTCCTTATGCAAACATCTTCCAATTCTTTGTATGTTTTGGATACAAATAATACCTGTATCTTAATTGTAAGTAATACCTTGGGAAGGGCCATTGTTTCATCTGTGTGTTGTGTCTGAATTTGAAATCCATCTGATAGAAACTAGCTTTTAGGGTCCGTGTGTTCATCAGATTTTATAATAACATAACATCCCATTCTTAACAGAACATGTTTCATCCAGGAAATGTGTCTTCCACATTGACTTAATTATAAAAATGGTTGATAAAGGCTTAGTCCTTGTGACTTTTGGATGGTAAATTGTTCAGTCAGGGAAGTGACTCTAGCTTCAAGAAATGTAACCTGAAGATTTGTACTTAGTTTTCAAAAGGGTCTGACCAGCTACATAAATCTGTTGCTGAGTTATAAGGATTAATTAAATACTGGTTGGTCTTTCAGAAAGTTGAGTATAAATTCTACTGCTTAACTAAAATTGCTGTTGCACCTCTAAATATTTTTCTATATTCTCTACTTTCACAGCCATATTTTAATTCTTCACTACAGAAATAAAGTCTATTTTGAAAGTGATATCTAACTTTGTGAACTTATTGGTCACCAAAGTTTTAGGTGATGTGGAATAAAAGGGGAGGAGGGGGAGGAAGGGAGCTATTGTTGAATATATCTGATTCCTACTATCGTATGAGTTGGTATAATCTTTTTAAGTTTATTCTACTTTTGAGTTCATTGAACTTCATGTATTTGTAGATTGATGGCTTTCCTTGAATTGGGAATATTTCAGCCTTTATTTTTTCTCATAATGTCTGTCTTTTGGTTCTTTCAGGGTTTTCACAGTACACTTATCGATCTGCTCAATGGTGTTCCGTGTGTCCCTTAGACTGTTCGCATTTTGTTTTCTTTGGGTGGTTACTGTGTATTGCACCCGGCACCTTGCACATGCTAAGAAAGATTCTACAACTAAGATAAATCCCCAGCTTGTCTTTTCATTTTTTCCCCTTTTTATTCCTTAGTTCATTTATTTTAAATGGTTTGTGTCTCAGATTTGCTGATTCTGCACAGAAGATATAGCTTGGTGATGGAGTGTTTGCTTAGCACAGTTGAGGTGCTGGGTTTGCAGCACTGCAGAAAAATAATTTACAGATATTCTGCCTATTAGGTACGCTGCTGAACTCTCACAGTGAACTTTCCAGTATAGTTACTGTGGGGTTTTTTTCAGAATTTGCTTCCTTTTTAGTTTCTCCTTGTTGATATTCTTATTTTATTTACCTATTGTTTTCATGAGTATTCTTAGTTCTTTGTTATCTTCTACCTCTTCTAGCATATTTAACACTTTTAAAAAAAAGTCTTTGTGGGGTTTGGGGATATAGTTCAGTGACATGGCACCTGCCTGCTAAGCACAAGGTCCTGAGTTCAGTTCCCGGTACTAAAAAAAAAGTCTTTGTGTAGTATAGCCAGCCTGTGTTTCTTTAGGAATTATTTCTGCTATATTTTTTCCCTTTCAATGGGGTATGTTATCCTCTTTCTTCTCTTTGTTTTTCATGTGGTATTTTTGTTGAAATTTGGCATTTGAGAAAAGTCAATTCTGCTTAACCAGATCTGTACTGAAAAAGACCTTTACTAGTAGCAGATCATGTTTTGAGCGTAGGTGTTAGCCTGGTATGAAGGGTTAATGTCTTCTTTCTTATGTGTCTTTTCTTTAGTCTCCAGCATACACAGAGACTTTGAGTATCTTAATTTCTTAGAGTTTCACGCCAGGTTTGTCAGGTTGAGTGAGTGTTTTGTTGTGTTCTTTATCCCTAACCTTGCCCAGGCATCTGCCGATCGTGGTCCCTCTGCAGCTTTGTTGAGCAGCATTGCTTCCCATGGTTTTTCCCAACCTGAGATGGAAGCTGTTCTGCTTTCCCTGAGTAAGCTTGGAATGAGGTGAAGCACAATCTCTGCAGTTCTCCACAAGGTTTGTATTTTACAAATAAAGTCTGCTCTGTGTTCCCTGAAGCTTGGGAATTTGGGCCTCTCCTCCCAGGTGTGCGATGCAGAGAAGAGTGTGGATCAAAGGCTGGTAAAACGCTAGCATTTGAGTCTGTGATCCTCAAGCTCTGACTGATGTGGACAGCCCCGAAAAACTCTCTGCTTAGTTGTTTTCAGCTTTCAGATTCTATTGTTGAGACTCTTGAAGTTTTGGATTTGCCATAACATTGGTCAGAATTTCTCCTTAGATTTGAGTTTATCCTCTCTGTTCTTTGCAGGATTTCTCCCAAACTTCACAGCTGCTCTGAGAGTCCTAAACTAGGTTCTCTGAAGCCTCAGATCAGTGTGTGTGTGGTACTACGGATTGAACCTAGAGCTTTCACACTGAGCTTTCGTCACTCTTCTTCCTATTGATTGATTGATTTTTTTTTTTTGTCTTTTTCTTTATCGGTACCAGGGATCGAACTCACGACCACACACTTGCAAGGCAGGCGCTTATGCCACTGAGCTAAATCCAATCCCCAGCCCCAGATTGATTTTTGAGACATAGTCTTGCTGTCACTAAATTGTCCAGGCCAGGCTTGAACTTCAGTTTCTCCAACAACTGGGATTATAGCCACCATGCCTAGTTTTCAGACTGTTTTTTGTTTGTTTTGTGATGTGTCAATTGAGAAGCACCTCAGGCATAAGCCCTTCAGTCTCATTCAGTGCATTCCTGACTGTTCTGGAGGGACTTCTCTTCATTTTCTTTGGAGGAACTTTCAGATAGTTGTTTCCTTTCTTTTTGTTATCTGTAGAGGGTTGTTCACCATAAATGGAAGCCAGTACGCCTTGTCTCATAAATTTTATTTTTTGTGGAAATTTTTTTGAGACTAATGTCATGCTGTGTAATTTAGGCTGGTCTTTTTTTTTTTTACATTTATTTTTTGGTCTTTTTCCTTTTTATCGGTACCAGGGATCGAACTCATGACTGCCTGCTTGCAAGGCAGGCGCTTATGCCGCTGAGCTAAATCCCCAGCCCCCAGGCTGGTCTTGAAGTTGCTGTATAGCCCACGCTGCCTTGAACTCATGACCATTTTCTTGCCTCATCCTCCTAAATGCTGCGATTGTGTGTGTACTACCATGCCAGCTCTATAAAATTTAAACCTTTATTTTTGAATACCATTTCATTAGAGATAGGATTAATAGGTTCAAAATAATTTTCATTCAGAAATTTGAAGAAAAATTTTATTGTCTTCTAGACTATAGTTATTACCAATAAAGAATCTGTTACCAGTATTTTTTGGGATGGACCACAATATAAATATTAAAAAATTTTTTAATTTTATATACAGTAAAAATGACTGTTTTTTGGTATACAATTCTAAGAGATCTTAGGCATGAGCCCTAAAGCCCTAGTCATTAAAAATGTTAGATTGGACTATTAAAATTAAAGGTTTTTGCTTTGCAAAATACATTAAGAGCACCCAACTGATGTCCAGAGCTTTTACACAGAGAGGTGTGGAAGCAGCCACTCAGAGGGGTGGGCGTAGGTGGGAGGAGAGGCCTGGCTGGGTTCAGCCTTCAAAAGCCACGCTGGCTGATGCTCATTGTGTGAAATAATGGCTCTGAAGCCGCGCAGATTCAGTTTTAGAGTCTAACACTGACTTTCACTAGCTTTGTCACGTTGGTCAGTTGGGAATATGGAATATGAATAAATAAAACTTCTCCATGACACATTTCCTTATTTATAAAGAAAGGATCTTTTCTGTCTGGCTCTTTCCTGAGGGTCAGGTGAGACCATGTATGTAGAAGCATCTCTAGGCTATGAGTGACTGTTTAGCATTCCACTCACTCCATTATGGTGGGTAGATGATCCAGTAACATTTTGTAGGAAAAATGCTTTATGAGTTTCTGAGAAGAAATAAAAGGAATCATTTTTTTCTCATTATATGGATTTAAGACTGAAAATTCCAGAGCCAAAGAAAGGTTGAATTCTTTATACAAGTGGAACGATGTGAGGGAAAAACAGGATGGAAAGGTAGGGGGACAGAGAGAAGTACCTGTAAGAAATACCATTTAAATTCCATGAACGACTGATACCTACTTTGTATCCTTGTTTTCTCTGCCTTGGAAGACCCCTTCTCTTTTGCTGCTGCTAGGTGAGGTGGCACACACCTGTAATTCCAGCTCATTGGGAAGCTGATGAAGGATAATTGCAATTCCGAGGCCAGCCTGAGCAACTTAGCAAGACTCCATCTTCAGAAGGGCTCAGTGGGAGAGGACTTGCCTAGCATGTTCAAGGTCCTCAGTTCAATTCCCAATACCACACACAAAACAGCCAAAGTAGTGGAGGTGGAAAAAGCCCAGGCTGACCCTGCAGCTGGACTGATGGGAAAGGAAGTCTGTCTGAAATCTGTTCTTTAGCTACGAGACATTTATTTTAAAAAAGGAAATCTGGAATATCACAGGAAGGGCAGACGAGGCAGGGTGGAGAAGAATGTGTAATGCCATGAATAGGAGAGGAAAGATACTTGAGTGTCTTGTCTGACATTCAGACAGGTATGGAAGCTAGATTTGAACTGAATCAAGTAGAGTGGTGGAGGCCTTCTGCTCCTGAGTCAGGCTTCTAGACCTTGTTGCAGTAAGGTGTATTTCTGCAGCATATAATTTGCATCCTTGTTCCGTGGGAAATGAGATTCATAGAGGGGCACTTGTTCTCACACCCTTGAACCATGAATTGAAGTTTTCCACCTGAAAGAGCCAAAGACACATTGGAGTTAGCAGAAGGCTTCCTTCTCTACCTTACCTTTACCCCGTGTCCTCTTGCAGAGATGATTGAGACACCCATGTGTACATTCTCCCTCCTGTCTGCCTCCTCTGGAACCTTCACTCTGTCAGTTGCCCACTTCTCTCTTACTGCTTCAGTTTTTCTCTCTACTGGCTCCTTTTTTTGGTCTTATAGGTATGCCCAAGTTCTCCCAAACTTGAAGATAGTTTCTTTGTATCACTTTCCTGCCACCATTCCTTCCCCGCAAACTTCTCTGGAGGACTGGCTGTTCTCACTTGACCTTCCTTCTGCCCTAGCCCCTCCAAGTCATGAGTGTACTGAAATTCCTCCCTCGAAGGTTTCTGCTTTTTAGATTCTGCAGCCAGTTTTTAGGAATCTGACTTCTGTAGACATGCAATCCTTTAGACTTTCTATCCTCCCTCTCTTCATCTCCCCTCTCCCTATCTCCCTCCTTCCCTTCTTTTTGAGACAGGATATTCCTATGTAGGTAGTCCAGACAAGCCTTGAACTCACTATGTATCCCAAGCTGGCTTTGAACTCTCAGTGATCCTGACTTAACCTCCTGAGTGCTGAGATTACTAGCGTGTGCCACCACACCTAGCATTTGTTTCTTTCTTGACACTTCTCTGGATAGCCTTTTGTACTCTGGATCTAGTTATCTGTGCTTTCCCATGTAGAATTCTCACATTTCCAACAAACTGATGGTCACCTCCATTCAGATGTGCTAAGGACATAAAAAATTTACTCTGCTCCAAATGAAGTTCATTTCCATCCTCCTCACTTGAACTTACTTTCTTGATATTTCCCTATATATTTTCTGTATCACACTCTCAAAACCTCTGTGCTCTCTGATTTCTCCCTTTGCCCTTTCTAATTGGTTATGAAGGCCTCTGAGTTCTACTCTTACAACATGTGTTGTTTTTAAGTTGTTGCTTTCATTCTTCAGACATTTAAGGGACCTTTCCTGTGTGGGGGCAACTAAGGTAAACACCAGAGGATATTAAGACTAATAAGATCCAAGTCTTCAATGTCAAGCACTGAGAGAGAGAGAGGGAGAGAGAGAGAGCGCCATTTCACTTTTCTACAATTCAGTTTCCTTTCTGTTAACAAGGAAAACTTTTTTGTGAAGATTAAATGAGAAAGCATACTTTATAAAGTACATCCCAGTGTCTGATATATGTGCTGGAGGTAAATAAAAAACTGTTATTTGTATTAGCTTTTATCAAGTAACTCCTTTATTCAAAATACCTACATTCAAACTCTATAAACTAATACTGAAGGGTTTTTTTGAGGAGTGAGTGGGTGGCTTTTTTGTGGGGATTGAACACAGGCTTTTCACACCGAGCTAATCCCCAGCCTTTGTTTTTGTATTGTCTTGGGTTTTTCGTTTGTTTTTGTTTTATTTTGGGACAGTCTTGGTATGTAGTTGAGGTTGACCTAAACTCAGCAGTTCTTTTACCTAAGTCTCCCGAGTGCTGGGGTTACAAATGTGCACCACGAAGCCCAGCTCTTGTTTTTATATTTTACTTTGAGATAAGACCTATCTAAATTGTTAAGCTGCTCAAGGTGGGCGTGGATTTGGGATCCTCCTGCCTCAGCCTCCCAGAGTTCTGGAATTACAGGCATATGCCATCACATCCTGCAGTATTTCAGGTCCTTTTGTATGATGTGACTCCAGCCAGCCATTCCCAAATTTATTTTCTTTTCCCCTATTTACTATTCCCAAATAGTTATTTTTCCTGTTTATATCCTGCACTTTTCCACCTTTTGTTTTCATCATTTCCCATCTCTGGCATATCCTTCATCAACTATTGCCTCATGACTAAATCAGGAGTTCTCTTAAATCCTGAGGGTATGTTAGGATGGTTGAGTAGTTTTAAAAAATACTGATGATGCTGGGCCTAATGGCATAGGCCTGTAAGCCCAGTACTCAGGAATCATAAATGTGAGCCCATTCTGGGAGACTTACTGAGACCCTGTCTCAAAAATGTGATTGGGAAGCTGGGCACACCTGTAATCCCAGTACTTGGGAGACTGAAGCAGGTTGCTGTGAATTCAAGGCCAGTCTGGGCTACAAAGTTGAGTTTAAGGTCAACCTGCATAACATTGCAAGACCCTGTCACAAACAAACAGACAAACAATGGGGCTGGGGAATGAAGATGTAGCTCAGTTAAAGACCTGATATTTAATCCCTAGTACCAAGAAAAAAAGGGGGGCCCTGAAATTAATCCCCAGAGATCTGACTTCGTGTCACCTGAGCATTAGGAATTTTAAAAGCTGTTCAAGTGATCTTAGTGTGTAGCCAAGTCACTGGCCCACATTTTACGTGTTCCCTCAGTGCCTTTTCTGAATGCTACCTCCAACTTTGTTTGGAATTTTTGCTCCTCTCATCTTCTTTCTCTGCCACCTAATCTTTCCTTCCCTTGTTGAATTCCCAATACTCTGTATGCCTTTTTTTTTTTTTTTTTTTTAAAGTGCTACTAGGGACATCTCATCGAACTGCATACCCATCCCTCTTATTTTTATGTTGAGGCCACATTGATAGGTTGCTTAGTTGTCCAGTTTTGTCTAACTAGATTTAACCTATTCCTATCTTCCTGTTGCATCCTCCTAGAATGCTGGGAATACAGGCATGTGCCACCACTCTCAGTCTTTGTGTGTCTCTTAGGACTTCATTTTCTCCTTTGTGATATTATTTGTTACGTAGGCCAGGGGTACCCAAACCCTGGGCTGTGGAGAGTTACTGGTTGGTGGCCTATTAGGAACTGCGCTATTCAGCAGGAGGTGAGCAGTAAGGCAGGTGAGTAAAACTTCTGTATTTATAGCAGCAGGGGAACCCTACAGTGCATTGCAACCTGAGGGATCTCCTGAAATCACCCTGAAATAGGTCACCCCTGCCTTCAACCGCCTCACCCCTATTATGGCAAAATTGTCTCCTATGAAACTGGTCCCTGGTACCAAAAAAGCTTAAGGACCACTGTATTAAGCCATAATCTTATTTGCAATATATATAATATATATTTATATATGAATATATATATATATATATATGTACATATATAAACATATATGTATATATTTTCTTTTGGGACAGGGTCTCACTGTTCAATTCAGGCTGACCTTAAATTCATTATGTAACCCAGGCTGGCCTTGAACTCATGGTTATCCTCAGCCTTCCAAGTGCTGGGGTTAAGGACCACCATGCCTAGCATACACAGCCTGTATTTGATAGTATGTGTCTTTTTAATGTTTGTTGAGTGGTGGAATGGCAGGTGAATGCACATATATAGAAATGAGATAATGGCATTTCTATGAGGGACTGAACAAACCACAGAGTTCCTGGAATACAAGTAACCAAGTTTCCTTTTTTGAGGAGAAAGGTGAAAGTGAGGGAAGAGAGGTGTAGGAACATACTCAGTCTGGTTTGGCAACCTGTGAACATAGATCTGTAGTTAATTGTTATTTTGTTCATTCAGTATTTGCTAACTGCCTACTCTACCAGATCTGGATATTGTACTAGGCCCTGAGAATATGTAGCCATGAAAAAATTAGATGTAGTGCTGAGTTTACAGTCTGTCTCAGTGGCTTCAGGGACAACTCACACAGCCATTATCCCTGCCTCCTTTTCTATGAAGTCTCAGTCTGCTGGCCTGTACCTCCCTAATCAGTACCTCGGATTCTACTCTAAAATCCAGGAAAGGAAGTTCTTTTTAATCTCCAATTTTCTTGATCCCTCTTCTTAGCCTCTTAGCCTCTGTCAGCCTATTACTACTTAAGTTGTCTGATGTGTTCTCACCTTCAAAGATCTTCTTTAGCATGCACTGCTGGGATTTCTCAGTGGTACACGTTCCCTCTCCACGAAGACATTTTCCTTGATCATTCATATAAGCACATGTGTGGCAATTTAATATTGTGCCTGCAATTTTAACATAAGACTGGTGAAATCCCTTTCTGGGCCAAGTGTGGATATGTAAGTCAGATATCTGGGTGGAATGATGGACAATAAAGCCTGGAAACAACATACTTTTTTTTGTCTTTTTTGTTTTTTATCGGTACCAGGGATCGAACTCACCACTGCCTGCTTGCAAGGCAGGCGCTTATGCCGCTGGGCTAAATCCCCAGCCCCACAACATGCTTCTGAGTGTTTTTTTTTCTTTCTGAGTTCTTGCTGGGGATCTGAGAGTCCCGTGTCTGATACAGCATGTTGTCTAGAGGAAATTCCTTCATTCTTTTTTTTTTGTCTTTTTCCTTTTTATCGGTACCAGGGATCGAACTCATGACTGCCTGCTTGCAAGGCAGGCACTTATGCCACTGAGCTAAATCCCTAGCCCCCAATTCCTTCATTCTTATTGTTTCATCTATGAGCTTTGTTGCTGATAAATCCCAGATTTACTTCCTGACTTTTACTCTATTTCATATCTTCACTGGCTTCCTGGATACATGTAATTAGTTACTCTTCTGATGTATCTTACTCCAAAGGAACAAAGTGCCATGTAGTGACTGCCTGCCACCTTCACTGCTCTGCCATAGTCTGACAAATCCACAAAGCACCAACACTTGGAATCAAATTGACTGATTTTTAGGCTTTAGAATGCTCTACCTTTGCAAATGGAGTATTCTCCATTTTCACATTGACCTTTTTTAAGGTCACAGAGCATTTCCTTTGAAATTTATCCATATTACCTCTTACATTATTTCTGTTAATCCCCTAGTTCAGGAAGTACAAAGAAGTACATTGGGGAAAACTTGGTCTTAGATTGACCTAAGTTTGAATCCAAGATTTGCTACTTTCTGGCCATGTGACTGACACTGGATCTGTTACTTTTGGCCAGTTACTTTTTATCTCATCTGAAAGTTTAGAATAGTAATCCTTTTTTTTTTTTTTTTTTGTACCAGGCGAAATGACGACCTCATGCTTGCCAAGCATGTGCTTGTGCTACTGAGCTGTATGCCCAGCCTAGAACAGTAATTCTTACGGAATGGGATGAAATGTGAAGTGTTAATATTGCTGTTGGTAACTTGAGACCTCACACTTTATTAGTTTTCTTGCTTGAATCATCTGTTTTAAGTAAGAGCCACAGAAAAGCAGTTATCTTGGGGAAGCATTGCCTAAGTTACATTCTATGTTAGTCTTCAGGATTCTGTACTCCCTATGAGCCCTGCCAGAGAAACTGTGAGCTTTTGTATTCATAATTTCTTAGGGTTCATGGAATTGGTGGGGCTATTGGCATTTTGTGTTTGTGTTATTTTCTTAAACAAGTATTCTCCAAATTATGTAGCCTACAGACCTCATAAAACATAGCACATGATTTTTGGTATTACTGTGAAGAGGCTTAGAGAACCTTTGGAAGAGTTGTTTCTGAAGTGTTAATGATTCTTCCTATTCTTTCCCTAAAATTGGGTTTTCCTGATGTGTTTCCCACTTCTCATACGAAACCAATGTGACTCACCTGAAGATGTATTTGGAAATGGTGTGCTTGAAGACTGTTCCCTGGGAGCAGGTTCATCTAGAGCCTGTTGACCTCCAGACTTTACACCAGAACGCTGTTCACCTGAAGTCTCTTCACCTGAAGTATGGTCACTTGAAGGCTCTCCGCCTGAGGCATGTCCACCTGAAGTCTCTTCCTCTGTAGTCTCTTCACCCGAGGCGTGCTCACCTGCAGTCTCTTTACCTGAGGCATGTTCACCTGAAGCTTCGTCACCTGGAGCATGCTCACCCGAAGCATCGTCACCTGGAGCATGCTCACCCGAAGCATCGTCACCTGGAGCATGCTCACCCGAAGCCTCGTCACCTGGAGCATGCTCACCTGAAGCCTCGTCACCTGAACCATGCTCACCTGAAGCCTCGTCACCTGGAGCATGCTCACCTGCAACCTCGTCACCTGGCGCATGCTCACCTGAAGTCTCTTCACCTGAGACGTGCTCACCTGCAGTGTCTTCATTTGAGGTGTGCTCACGTGCAGTGTTTTCACCTGCACTGTCGTCACGTGAGGTGTGCTCACTTGCAGTTTCTTCACCTGCAGTCCCCTCACCTGAAGCATGGTCATCTGAAGACTGTTCACTTAGAGCATGCTCACCTGAAGTCTCTTCCTCTGAGATGTGTTCACTTGAAGCATGTTCACTTGCATCATGTTCATTCACAGTGTGTTCGCCAGCAATATGCTTGTTTGAACTGTGCTCACTGGAACCATGCTCAGCCAATGCATTCTTACCTGAAGTCGTCTCATATAAAGCATCAATATCTGAAAGACTTATAGGTGAGAGGTGCTTATTTGAAAGTCGCTGAGCTGAACTTTGATGATCCATGGAGGCAAGCGGTGCATCGGGCTGACCTGATGCTCCTGACATGGAGAAGAAAAACAAGAGATGATAAAGGTGAGAAACAGACTGGGATAAAGAGAGAGACAAATGGGGACCCCTAAGTTTTCTGTGGGTCTAGAACAAGCACTGATAGTGCAAATATTGGAGGAAGTTCACTAATTACTCTGAGAGACCATGGAGGATAGAGCTGTTTACTGCAAAATACAGAGACCACCTCTGGGATTAGAGGAAAGAATTTTAAATACATAATACTAAAAACTACATGGGAGATACTCATACATCAGAAGCACCTAAAGGGAAATGAAAGTATCTCCCTAACAAAGCCAGCAGCAGGAAATCAAGTCACTTATGTCATCAGAAGTCTGCCACCAGCCCTCCCATCAGTCATCCTTCGGTGAAGTCAAGAATAGAGATAGAGCGAGAGAAAGCAAATAGTTTCCAATAGCTGAGTAATTCCGGGCAAAATTGAGGCTGGACAGTTTTTTTTTTAATTTTAAATAAGAATAATTGTTTAAACAATACATTTATTTATGTATATATTTAGAAGTATTGAGGATTGAACCAGGGCCTTCACACTAAGTTACTGTATTTATTTTTAAATTTGTTAAATATTGAGACAGGGAAGGACTTGATAAATTGCCCATACAGGCCTCAGACTTTTGCCTTTTGCCTCATCCTTTTGCCTCATCCTCCCAGAGTGCTGGGATTAGAGGATAGAAAATTTTAACCTTTGCTTAGAAATTTTCAACTAGAAGATGATCCACAGGATGACCTTGAGCCCATGAAAATTACCAGGAGGGATTAAGTCACTATTTGGTAAGGTCAAGTTCTTTCCCACAATCCTTAATTCACATGGGTTGGGTATTCAGAAGGTGAAGTTGCTATAAATTATTAGATTGAAAAACTCTGGGGCCAGTCTGATGCCCTTCATCAGAGCATGCCCCCTCAAATTGCTCAGGCTAGTATCCTTCTCTATTTTTCTTACTTTATTTGTCAAGAGCTGTCCTGATCTTTGTTGGCTCTACAGACTAAAATTTCTCACCATTTTTTTCTTACTTTCCAAGTAAAGCTTTTTCCTGTTAGAAAAACAACAACAACAGCAGATTCTTGGCTTACATTTATGTATGCCTGAATGGAAATTCCCAATGACATACCATGTATACCTACTTTATGGAGTTATTGGGTATTTTAGGAAGATAAATTGTGAAGTGCCTTGTCTATTGCTCAGATGCTCAGTTAATTTTAATTTCTCTTCTCCCCACCTTACACTGGCATTTGCAAACCTCAAAGAGGGCCATTCTCTTTTGGCTGATCTCTTCTACCTTAAATCTAGGTCATATTCTTAAGCGTGACTTTCACATTAATTGAATGGAAAAGCAGGGGCTGGGGATTTAGCTCAGTGGCATAAGCACCTGCCTTGCAAGCAGGCAGTCATGAGTTCGATTCCCAGTACCGATAAAAATGAAAAAACAAACAAAAAAATCCTGAATGGAAAAGCAAACTGTTAGATAATTGACCTTGATTATACTTAGTAGCCTAAAGGGAAGGCAAGAAGACTGTAAGGACTGGGTTATGAAGACTAGTTAGAAGCTGAGAGCTATTACAGGATCTTTAAGCTGAGATAAGTTAGAAGGCTTCTGGGTACTCTAGCCTTGTATGAATCCTATAAGAGGTATATACTTATAATCAGGTACTTTCCAAAAATCTAGGGTTGCTTGGCAAGGTTGTGCATGCCTGTAATCACTGCTCTTAGGCAGAGGAAGGAGAATTGAAAGTTTGACGCCAGCCTGGATAATTTAGACCCTGTCTCAAAAAACCAAAGATAAAAAATAAAGACGAGGGTTATAATATGTTGATAAAACATTTGATAAGGTTTTTAGTGGGTTTTTATTTTTAAAACATAATATTTGTTTGACTGATTCTTCACTAGTTAAAACAATTTTTAATAAAGAACTATTTGTGACAGAATAGAAAACAGGTTTGAATAAGCATGCTGATGTCTCAGTCACTGTTAGGTCTTATGATCTTCACTGCTATGTGACTGGCACATAGTATCATCCAGTGGTTGTGTATCTACATTTCTGAGTCAAGTGGTTTTTTTGTTTTGTTTTTGAGACGGTCTTGCTATGTAGTTCAGGCTGGTCTTGAACTCACTGTGTAGCCCACACTGGTTTTGAACTTGTGATCCTCCTGCCTCAGCCTTCCAGGTCCTGGGATTACAGGTGTGTGCCACCAAGCTTGGCTCAAATTTTTGAAAGCAACAAAACAATAAGAAAAATCTATGAAATCCAACATTACTGAGAGCTTGTCATTTCAACAGCTTAGCTCTTCTTGTGGTAGGCAGGAGGGAACAGAGTTCTTCATGATTCCCAAAACAGTAATACAGAAAACGAATGGATAAACACAGCCATAAAGGAGTTACATGATCTCTGGCCCATACATCTGTTTGTTGAGATGTTTTTCTTAGCCCATTCTTTTCTATTTCGTTGTATCTTTTCTTGGCACATTAACTGCTAAGGAGCTCTTATACTCAATGAGTAGGAACAAACTCACTGGGCTATCACTGAACCTCCAGGCCTATTCTCCCTTCTCATAGAACATCAGATTCAAATGTTGAGCGGCTGAAAGAGCTAAACAGGAAAGTGCCAGGTCAGAGGGCCTCAATGACTATAAAGCTATAGCTAGACGCAGGCAGGTGGTTCAGAATCTCTCACTGTTGGTCTTACTTAGTTACTCTTGATTCCTAATTAGATTGGTTTGGGTAACTGAGTGACTTCCTTAAGGACAGAAGCACCTTAAAGAGAGCCCCTTATGCACCTATCTCAAGCCTAGGCACAAGACTCACCTCTGACAGATCCAAGCAGGTAAAGACTCATTAGTAAGATTAACTTGTTCATTGGGATTTAGGCAAAGAGAGGTCTTTAGTGTGGGACACCCAAAAGCTGTGAAGACAGAGCAGCTGGGCATTCTAGAACCTCAGAGACAAGCCATGTTTCCTCACAATGAGTGGTGTTCTGAGGTCCTCATCTGTCAAGCAGGCTGGCCTTTATACCTCTGGCAAATTCCCCTGGTGAAGACGTGAGTATTTTCTGTGTGTAGGATAGTGTTTGTGAACTGTTTGCGCTATCTTTAAAAAAAAAAAAATTGCCAAATAATATCTATTCTTTGTAAAACAATTTTAAAAGCATTCTTGCTCTCCCTCTCTCTGTCTCTGTTTTACATTTAAACTCTGAGTGTTCTTTTTTAGTTTTTGTTTTGTTTTTTTTGAGACAGGGTCTCACTGTGTAGTTCAGGCTAGCTAGCCTTAAACACACTATGTAGCTGAAGCTGGCCTCAAACTCATAGCAATACTCCTACCTCGGCCTCCTGCATGCTGGGATTACAGGTGTGTGCCACTATACCCTCCTGTAGGTGTTCTTGATAGGGAGATGTGAAGGTGTTATTTTCTCTTGAAATATGCTGTTCTTGGCCTTGATCCTATTCTGGAAGGCCGATTGATGTTGATTTAATCACCTAAATACTAAATCTGGGCTTGGCTTCAGATTGAATTTAACCTACAGAAGAATAGAGGGGAGAGGGGAAGAAAAGAGTATATATTCTTCCTATTTTCACACCACAGTTGCCTCTAGCCGAGTCTTTCTCACCCTGCAAGGCTTTTGTGCTATTTCCTGTCTCCAATGGCTCCAGCATTCAACCAGGATATGATAACATTTTCCTCTCTCTACCCTTTTTGTCTAGGTTTCCACTGTTGCTAAAACCTGGATGGCCCAATTTTCTTTTTTTTTTTTAAATTCCTGTAGCCCCCCCTACCCACCTTTGTAGATAGATGTTTTTCTTTTTTAAATTGGTACATTTTAGATATACATAATAATAACATTTATCATAGGGACTTTCTACATGTACATGACTTATCTTTTTGTCCCCCATTCTCTTCCCCTCCTTTCAACCCCTTTTCCTCTTTATTTACAAAAGCTTTGTTTGCATTTTTCCTTTCTGTTTTTCTTGTCCTTTCCCCCTCCTCTTCCCTTTTTCCTTTTCTCATTTGAACATTTTCTTTCCATTTTCAAATATTTATTACACATTTTGGTCTTTATGTACATTTTTGGTTTTTTGCACCAAAAACAATATGATATTTACCTATGTGTCCAATTTATTTCACTTGTGAGTATGGTCTCAAGATCCATCCATTTACTTGAAAATATCTCAAATGTATCTTTTTTTATTTTAAAGAGGGTAAAACTAAACAAAACAGAACAAAGCAGATCAGAAGAAAACAATGTAAGTGACACAGATTTCAAAGCAAGACAACAGAAGGTCTACGGTGGCTACCATAATGTCTCTTGTTTTCTTCTAAATGGTTGTCCATATCTTCACACACAACAAATTCATACAAAACAAAATAGTACAAAACTGATCAGAACAGAGTTATGAAGATATTATAGGCCTTCAAAACCAGACAATAGGGAAATCAACAATGGCTAACGTAATGTCTTTAATTCTCTTCAAAATAGCTGTCCATATGTTGAAATTAAACAATTCAAAACAGACTAAACACTCTAAACAAAGAATAAAAGCAGTAAATAAAACCAGTAGGTTTTTGCATCACAATGATAGGAATTCAGAAATGGATAATCATAATGTCTCTTTTTCTTCAAGGTAGCTGTTTATCACGCATAATATAATCGATTCTCGTAAACTGTTTAGGAGAAGTTCTATGCATGTTTAAGCCTTTACATGTATACCTATCCTTTTTGTATCAGAGGGAAAAACAAAACAAAACAGATTACTAGAAAAACACAAAACAAAAAGACAAAAAACAATAGCAGAGTCCAAAATGATACAGGCCTTCACAACAAGGTGGTAGGAGCATAATTAGGGTTGTTATCTTACATAATGATCTTCAAGAGTTCCTCAGGTCACCAGTCACTAACATGCTCAATTGTTCCAATCCTATGAATGTTAACTGTTCTGTTCCAAGAACTAATAGAGTTTGTAGCGCAGTCGTCTTAGCTATCTTGTGTGTTTATTCAATTTTAGATTTTTTTCTTTTCCCTTTTTCTTTTTCCTTCTTTTCCCTGAGATATTTTTTCCCCTTTGAGCAGATTCTTATCCTTCCACTATATTTATCAAGGACTTTGTATCTTATGTACATTTACATTTATGTAATTTCTTACATAAGGAGACAATACAGTATTTACATAAGTGAGTTTGATTTTTTTCACTTACGAGTATGGTCTCAAGTTGCATCCATTTATTTATAAATATCTCAATGTATAAAAATATCACATCTTTTTTATCCATTCTTCGATTAATGGGCATTTAGTTTGTTTCCAATATCTGGCTGTTACAAATTGTGCTGCTATACACATGGGTGTACATGTATCACTGTGGTGTGATGTTTTCAGTTCTTCTGGGAATATGCCCAGAAGTGGAATAGTTGGATCAAATGGGACTTCCAATCCCAGCATTTGAGGAATCTTTAAACTGACTTCAACAGTGGTTGTACCAGTCTGCACTTCCACCAACAGTGCAGAAGAGTTCTTTTTCCTCCACGGCCTCTCCAGCATTTGTTGTTGGCCGTTCTTTCTGGAGTGAGATGGAATCTCAGTGTGGCTTTCATTTGCATTTCTCTAATGACCAATAGTGTTGAACATTTTTTCATGTATTTATTTGCCATTTGTATTTCTTCATCTGAGAACTGTGTATTAATCTCAGCTGCCCATGTTTGGATTGGGTCTTTGAATTTTGAGGGTCTGATTTTTTTTTTTTTTAATCCTTGATATGTTCTAGTCAGAAGTACTTTGTCTAAGGGACAGTTGACTAAGATTGTTTCCCAAACTGTGGGCTTTCTTTTCACTATGCTAGAGATTTAATTCTTTTGACATGCAAAAACTTTTTAATAAGACGTGATCCCAGCTATTCATTCTGGGAAGTATTTCCCATGTGTTTTGATTCTTGTTCATGAATTCTCTACCTAACCGTATATCTTCAAGATTTCTACCTACTTCCAGCAGATTTAGTGTTTCTGTTTTAATATTTAGATCTTTGATCCATTTTGACTTTAGTTTAATACATGGTGATAGGCATGGGTCTAGTTTCAGTTTTCAGCATATGGAGAGCCAATATTTCAAGTACTATTAAAGAGATTATCTTTCTTCCAGTGAGTGTGAAGATAAGGTGGTTGAGTGTGTTTGTAGTTGTAGTTGTGTCTTCTAATCTATTCCATTGATCTTCAGGTCTTTTTAAATTTTAGAACCATGCTGATTTTATTGTAGTAGCTTTGTAGTATAACTTCAAATCAGGGGTTGTGATGTCTCCTGCCTTGCCTTTGTTGCTCAGAATTGTCTTTGCTATTTTAGGTTTCTTCTGATTCCAGATGAATTTTAGGAATGATTTCTCTAGATCTATGAGGTTTGCTAGTGGTATTTTGATTGGGATTGCATTAAATCTGTGTAACAATTTTGGAAGAATGGCCATTTTCACAATATTTGTTCTTCCTTCCCAGAACAAGGGACATCTTTCCATTTTCTGAGGTCCTCTTTGATTTCTTTTTTCAGTGTATTGTAACTTTCCCTGAATAGATCTTTTACTACTTTTGTTAGATCAATTCCTAAGTATTTCATTTTTTTGGATGCTATTGTGAAGGGTGTGGCTTCTCTTATTTCTTTCTCAGTGATTTTGTTGTTTGTGTTTATGAGTGCAATTGATTTTTGAGTGTAACTTTGTATCCAGCTACATTACTGAATTTAGTTATTGTACCTTGGAGTCTTTTGGTGGAGTTTTGGGGGCCTTCTATGTAGTATCATGTCATTTGCAAATAATGATAATTTAGCTGCTTCTTTTCCTATCCTTACTCTTTTTATTTCTCTCTCTTGTCTAATTGCTCTGGCTAGTGTTTCCAGCATTATATTGAATAGGAGTGGTGATAATGGACATCCTTGTCTTGTTCCTGATTTTAGGGTAAAAGTTTTTAGATATTGGCCATTTAATATGGTGCTGGCTGTTGGTTTGTCATAGATGGCCTTTATCATATTGAGGTAAAGAACATCTATGCTAGTTTTCTGTAAGGTTCTTATCATGAATAAGTGTTGGACCTTATCAAAAGGCTTTTCTGCATCTATACAAATGATCATGTGATTCTTATTTTTGGCTACTGATTGCTCAGGAGTGTATTATTCAATTTCCATGTGTTTGTGAGGTTTTTGCAGTTTGTCATTAATTTCTAGTTTCATTGTGTTATGATCTGATAACATGCATGGGATAATTTCAATTCTTTTTCATTTACTTAAGTATGTTCTGTGGGCTAGTATATGGTCTATTTTAGAGAATGTTCCACATGCTGCTGAGAAGAATGTATATTCTGATGATGTTGGGTATACCTCCACTGTAAACCTCCACCAAGTCCATTTGTTCATGGTTGTGATTCAGTTATTTCTTTGCTGATTTTCTGTCCTGTTGATCTGTCTCTTTGTGTCAATGGGTTGTTAAGATCTCCTATTGTAATTATGTTATTGCTTATTTGATTTTTAATTTCTATTAATACTTGTTTTGTATAGTTGGGTGCTCCTGAATTTGGTGCATAGATATTTAAGATTGTTATCTCTTCCTCTTGAAGTTTTCCCATAACTAATAGGTAGTGACCTTCTTTATCTCTTTTGACCATTTTTGGTTTGAAGTTTACATTGTGTGCAAACAGAATAGCTATCCCTTTTTTTTGGTGAACGCGCGGTGGGGGGGTGTTCCAGTTGGATGTAGTATTGTTTTCCATCCTTTGACTTTTTTTGGGGTTAGATGGATTTCTTGTATACAGTATATGGTTGGATGTTGTTTCTTGATCCATTCTGCCAGTCTGTTTCTTTTAATTGGTGAATTGAGGCCATTAACATTAATGGTTATAATTGATATATATATTGGTTTATTTTTGACATGTTATCTTTCTGCTGTGGATTCTTTACCTTTCCATACTATTTAATTGTTTGCCTTGCTCAGTGGTTTTTTTCCTGTGTCTGTCTAGAATGTCTTTCAGTATGCTTTGCAGGGTTGGTTTTGTGGTCATGCGTTCTTCAGCTGTTGTCATTGAAGTATCTTATTTCTCCATCCATTTTGAAGGACAGTTTTGCAGAGTACATCAATCTGGGCTGGAAGTCATTTTCCTTTAAGATCTGAAATACTTCACTCCATGCTCTTCTTGACTTTGTTGTTTGTGTTGAGAAGTCTGCTGTGATTCTGATAGGCTTTCTTTTATAGGTGATCTGTCTCTTTTATCTACCAGCTTTTAATAGTCTGTTCTTATGCTGGATTTCTGAGATGTTGATTATTATTTGTCTGGGTGTAGTTTTACTTTGGTTATGGGTATTTGGCATTCTGTATGCTTCACTTATGTGTATTCCAGCTTCCATTCTCACATTTGGGAAATTTTCAGCTATTACTCTGTAAATTGCCTCTTGGTATTGTTTGTGTTGTCACCTTCTTTTTCATTTATACCTATCAATCTTTTTTTTTTTTTTTTTTTTTTTTTGTCGTTTTCCTTTTTATCAGTACCGGGGATTGAACTCACAACTGCCTGCTTGCAAGGCAGGCGCTTATGCCGCTGAGCTAAATCCGCAGCCCCTTATACCTATCAATCTTATGTTGCTTTTCTTTGCATCATTTGCAGCTGTTGAATTGTTATTTCATGATTCTTTGTTATTTTTAAGAATCTTTCTTTTTCTGTTCACTAGCTACAACCTTGTCTCTGAGGTCTGAAAGACTGTCTTCACTTTCATTGAGACAGTTTTGCCAACTTTTGATGGAATTTTTGATTTCCTGTATATCTCTTTGAATCTGAAATACTTTCATGCATTGTTTCTTATATTGTTCATTCAAGGTTTCCATCTTTTTGCACTGTTCCTCTAATTTTTTAACTATGTCATCTTTAGATGTGTTGTTCAGCATTTCTTTCATTACATTTATCAATTCTTCTTTTACGTGGGAGATTATTTCTGATCTGAGTTCTTTTATAGCTTCCCAGAGTTGTTTCTTTACTTCATTTGCTATCATTTCATGAGTTTCAGGTGTATGGCTTACATTTTGTTCTATGTGCATGTCTCCTAGGCTTGCTTGGGATGGGCTGGAGGTTTGAGATTATATTTTGCTCTTTTGTTTTGTCATTTTTCTATATTTCTGGGCTCAGAGCAATGTTCCCAAAGCTTGCGTGTGCACTGGAAATCACCTTGTGCACTTTGGCTCCTGAGGCAGAATACACGCAGCTACTGGCAGCCCGGGGGTTGCTGGGCATGGGAGTGTATCCTTCTTTATGACAGAGTAGTACATTACTTGAGTATAAAAAACACCTGTGTCTTTACCAATCATTAGGGAATGAGCAGCTGTTATAAACCGTGCCACTGTAAACATGGGTATGCATATATCACTGTGGTATGATGCTTTTAATTATTTTGGGAAGATACCCAGAAGGTGTGGAGACCGGGTGATCTGGAGATCAATGGCACATTTTGGCCAGAGTAAGGCTAGCTCTGAGAAGATCCAGTGCTAGTAAACAAGTTTTTGGGACTGAAGCAAAGCCAGTTCAGCAGGTGTCTGACCTTGGTGCTCCCTGTTAACTATAGCAAAGGTATCTCTGAGAATGTCTTGCTTTTAGTGTTAACAAAACACTGCAACCTTATGCTTTTGACCCTGTTGCACGATTGCCCACCTTTTTACCCTGTATAAAGATACAGACCTTGCTGGTTTGTTGCTTCCTCTCCATCAGAGAAGTCAGATTTTACTTGGTCTGAACTTCCCTTTTATTATTTGTCTAGTTTTTTTGTAATCTCATGTTGCCCCCTCTCAGGAACCCACTGGCTATGCAGGTTGTGGCAGGAGGGCGAATAGCAGAGTCAAACAAAACCTCTGGTTTTAGTTTCTTGAAAAATCTCCATACTGATTTCCACAGTGATTTTACAAGCCTACATGTCCACCACCAATGCAGAAGGGTACGTTTTCCCCCACAGCTGTGTCAATACTTGTTATTGGTTGATTTGTTGATCATAACTCTTTTCCCTGCAGTGAGATGCGATCTCAGTATTGTGTTTAATTTGTATTTCTTGAATAACTAGTGATGGTGAACATTTTTTCATATATTTATTTGCCACTTGTACTTATTTTGAGAAGTGTCTACTCAGTTCACCTGCCTATTTCTGGAGTGAGTCTTTAAATTTAGGGGGTCTGATTTCTTTGAGCTCTTCATATATTCTAGATATTAATCCTTTGTCTGAGAAACAGCTGGCAGGCTGAACTCAGGGAAATGAATCCTCCTAAGGGAACTGATTCCTTAGGTGGCCCTTTTGAACTTATGGTTCCAGGTGTTCTCTTCTCAAATGAAAGGTTTGAGATTTTAGATCTTTGAATTTTATGAGCTAATTGGAGAACAGTAATTACTACTTAATTTATAAAGTACTGCTTTCTAGGCTGAAGTGGGAGGATAAAAATTTAAGGCTGGCCTAGGCAACTAGCTAACACTTTATCTCAAAATAAAAATTAAATGGAGTAGGGGAAGGGATTGTAGCTCAGTGGTAGAGCAACTGGGAGGCCTTAGGTTCAGTGTCCAGTACTACAATATGTACACAGGGTGGTCAAAAACACAGTGAATGTTTAATTGCAAAATGCATTAAAGTAAAAAACATTGCTAAGAATGTTTAGGATAGGGTGCTAAAGTGAAGCACAGTATTTTGACCACACAGGGGGATTAATGGCAACATGTCTGTAACTTTACTACATTTTTGAATTTAAACATTCATTGTAGTTATTGACAAAACATGACAGTGGGACTTCATTCACAAGAAAGGTGTGACTCCCAGCTCCTCCCTAAATGATGGAGAGAGGTGTGAGGTGTGACACTTCAGGAGGATCAGAAGCCAACCTTGGCGAAGGCATTGGTGTGAACATTTCCATGGGGCCTGGGAGCCAGGTGATTTGCGCGTACAGGTCCTGTCTGTGAGGTCAGAGATGAGAGGAGCTCATCCCTTAGCAAGTCACAGTAGTGTCTGTTCTGACTGCATCTGCTGGGAAGAACGGAATTCCTGCCTCTCCTCCACCCTCTCTGTACCCTGACAGCAACAAAACAGACTCAGCAGGACTAGGTTCACATTATGTGTGTAATTGCTCTGTTTAAAAATGTGCTCCAGTTTTTGTAAATCAAGAGGATGGCCCCATACACCAGCGAGGCCCTTTCAATCTTGCTGATGGAGCCTGAGGCAGGCTTGACTGCTTTCTGTGATCTCCACGTGCTGAGGAAATATTTTGCCACACTCTGCTTAGTGCAGTTTGTACTAAGAAAGCAGTCAAGTTTCATTTGCTCTTTGAAGTCTAGCATACTCATTGTGTCATTGTTAGTGAAAATGATGCTGTCTCTGCCCCTTAAGTTCCTGATGCTACCCCTCCCTGCCACCAGCCCTTGACTGCTGCATGATGCACAGTGTGGGCTCCTCAGTCCCCCCACGGGCCTCTGTTGTCCTTTGTGGGAAAGACTGTGATCAGGAGCTCAGGGCTGTGCTTGGCCTGGGGGTTTGGACAGCTGGGCCTTCTGGAAGGAGAAGCAGGAGGAAAGGTCCAGGGAGTACACAGCAAAGAAGCCGTAGGGCTGGACGACACAAGGCCTAGGTCTCCCCTTCCCATGCTTAGCATTCTGGGATTAGAGGTAAGTGAGAGGCCCAGAGAAAGCACTTTGTAAACAACTGATTCTTAGCAAACTGGGAAAATCACTACTGTTGACAAATGTCCACTGTCAGTGTGAGTGAGCTCATCCATCTGACAAGGTCCCAGGTGACATGTTTGAGCAGAGGTCCTATCCTCTGGTTTGGACACCAACAGGAGGGTTCCAGGACCCGGGAAGCCTTGGGTTCTCTTAGCAGAGTGCCCGAGTCTGGGAAGTCTTCAGAATTGGGTTTCAATCTGGCGTTTACCCTGTCATTCGCCTTGGCCAGATTTTTATTCCCTCAGCTATAGAAAGAAATGCTAATACCCACCACACAAGCTCTTGTGAAGTTTCGTGTAGAATCATGTGAAGTATAAAGTATTACAAACGTTTAATTCACACCTTGAGTTCTTTTTGGAGGGATAATGACAATCTCTGAGACTTCAGTGCCTGACTGAGTACTAATTGCACCTTGTACCTCTACAGAGGGTGTCCCCCACCCATTTCAGTGAGTTTCGAATTCTTAGGGTAGGAGACAGGGTAGACAGGGTGGGGGAGGCTGACTCTTAGTCCACAGTGTAGTGAGAATAGAGCCAGGGTCTGCAGGGTGCCTAGGGCTCCAGAGAAGCCTGACGCCACAGCAACACACGTGTTTCTGAAGATCCGTGTTTTAAAATTGCCTTCCATCAAGTGTATAAACTCTAGCGGTGCCTGCATCCTGCCTGGAAGATACATCCAAATCTCCTGTCTTGGGTTAGGGCTTTCGGTGTAAGAGCCCAGGAGGTGTCCATTCCCATGAGGTGAGAAGTGTTAAGCCTGAACTCTGCGTTCTGCTGGCTGTCATTTCCTTAGGCAGGAAAAGCGTCATACAGTAGGCCACACTGGTTAGGCTCATCAGCCATCTGCTCCCACAGTGTCTTTAGATGGGTCACACTGCCCTGATACCCCCATTTCAAGTTCACAAAAATCTGCAGTCTGAGGAAGCTGGGTCCCCAGGGCCCTCTGCTCGCCCTGCCTCTGGGAAACTCAGCTTCTGCCTGGGCTCCCATTGGCTGCCCCTGCAGCCCGGCAGGATAAAGGTGCAGCATCTCTGGCGTGATTGCTGTTGCTCCTAGGTCCTGGCCACCCTGATGATGGGAAAGCACCTGCTGCTCTTGCTGGGCCTGGCTTTGCTGTCAGGCTTCCTGCAAGGTGAGTCCTTGGGGACAGCCTTCCCTCGGGCTGGGCACGCAGACTAATTGTTGGCTGCAGATGGTTTCTGGGCTGTGGGGAGGGAAGGGGCATGGACCAAGGCTTTTAGAGGCAATTGCTGCCCTTCACCCCTCACCCCTCTTTCTGTTCACCACTTTGGGGCCAGCCCACTGCTGTGCTTCTCCTTCAGGTTCCTCGGCCCCAGAGTGAACCCTGGAGAGTTCTAATTTCTACAGCTTTCTTGCAGATGGCCCTGGCCTTGAATTGTAAAGGGGCCAAGGAAGATTGTTTGCAGAGAATCTGAAAAAACGATGCAGAGGCATGGAAGAGTAGTCCCAGGAAGGGTGTTGGGGTCCCATGGCCTGAAGCAAGGCCTGCCTCTTCTTTCCAGAGGCCTTGTGCATGCCTGCTAGAGTGCATGTTGGAGATACTCTAGCTACTGTCCATCAGGAACCAGCTAGGGCATGGGGCCTCAATTCAGGTATCCGATGAGCCCGAATCCAGGTTTTTGCACCAGGGGAATGATCATTTTCCTACAGTCAGCAGTTATGGCCCCTGTGTTGGCCTCCTCCTTGACTAGTGAGGCTCTTTCTGCCTTTGCAGCTCTGACCTGTATCCATTGCAATCGCACAAGTGTTGATGGGATTTGCCAGACTCGGAAAAGCTCCTGCCAGACTTATGGATCCCAGCAGTGCTACCTACGGAAGGTCTATGAAGGTAGGGAGTGCCTGGTGTTAGGGTGTGCCTGGCCTGGCCTTGGAAGGAGGTGACCCTCTCAGGAGAAATGTTCTTGCTCCGGGAAAGTGGGAGAAGGCTTCTATGGTTTTGGTACAGGGCTGCCATGGTTTTGCCTGGGCTCATATAACCATTAGAAGACAGAACGCTTACTGAGGGTTCTCTGGGTGCCCCTCAAAGATCTAGGTAAACAGAAGCTACAGAAACCAGACTTTAAGTCCCACTGCATGTGGGTAAGAATAGGACTGCAGATGGGCTGAGAGAAGGCACCTCAGTCATCTCCGAGTGGCTCATGTCCCTTCAGCCTGGGAACCCGGCTGCAGGACAGCATGAAGTTTCTCTTCATTCCCAGTCACTGGTTCCTGCCACACCGATTTATTGTTTGCTCCTGTGTCTCTTGCTTTCCAGATGGCATCTTCCAGTATGCAAGGCAGGGCTGTAGTGACCTGTGCTTTCCCATGATCCCCATGAATGAAAGAACTAGAGTGGAGTTTATATGCTGTGACAATGAGCCATTCTGTAACAGACTCTGAAAGGCCCGACCTTCTCTGCCCCCTCCTGTGTCCACCAAGCTTTGCCCCCCACTGCAGCCTTTCTCTGTCTTCCCGCAGCCCCAGCCTAGGGCTCCTTCCCCAGCACAGCCTGAGCCCTGACACTGCCTGCCCTCAGCATCAGGCCTTGCCCTGTCCACAGCTCCTCCCAGCTGGGCAGATGTGCTCTTTATCCCTGTCCTCATCCTCGATCTTTCACTGGCACACAGTAAACTCTCTTCTCCATCTTCAGTTCTTTCTTCTTCTTTTCACAAATATTTTACAAATATTTTCTGATTCCTAATCGCTGAAATGTGGCTCTGAGTGTGCAGAAGCGAACACCACGTCTGCCTCCTGCCCTCAGTGGACCTTCAGTCCTGCAGAGGACAAAGGCTTCAGACTGTAGCCTCCATCCTATTCCTGGCCTGGAACCTCCGGCCTGGGCCGTGTTCAGCACCACCAGCCCTGCATGAGGATTTGCAAGGGCACAGACAGTGTGATTCCTTCGTGTATTGGACATAGCCCAGTGTGGAGCCTTTGCACTAATAAATACCATGTGTCCTTGATTTTGTTTGGAATTGTTATTGATTTATTTTAATAGTTTCAATGTTTTTTTGTGTGTGACACTGGGTTCTGAAGAGCCTTCACACTGAGCTGTATCCTGTGATCTTCTTTTATTAAAATTGTGTGTGAAAAATCTTAATAAATTCTCTTAGTTTATGTTTTCTGTCAAAGACATATATTGTGACTATTCTCTCGGAGTATACTTTATCTTTCCATAGTTTCACAACAATAGTTTCTCATAAATGTAGATTACAGTTTTAGTAAAGGTGAATTTTCCAGTTTTTATATGCCTGGTGTGGACTCAATCTTTATTTGTCCTTTGAATTCAGTGTTAAAATCGAATCCAGAGTGTAATGCTATTTCTATATTTTTAACGCATTGTGGCAGGGCTTGGGGTTGTATTTCAGGTCTCTCTGTAACTATAACCCTTTATGTTCTGAGACGGGTGCTGGTTAATTTGCTGGATTCCAGGTTGGGTTCAAGTTTGCAGTTGTGCTTCAGGCTCCCAGAGTGCTGGAATTAGCGAAGCTGGGCACCAAGCTGACTGAAGCAGTAAGAGGTGGGTGATGGGAGGTTAGTAGGTCAGGAGGGTGGGGAACTCACAAGTGAGACCCAGGTCCTCGTGCAAAAGATTACCTCTCCATGGGCCATTGTGTTACTAGCCTGGAACCCTGCCTGTCGGAGGCTGAGGCAGAAGGATTCCTGTGAGTTGGAGGACAGCCTGGGCTACAAAGTGACTCTTAGCCCAGTTTGAAGGACATAGTGAAACCCTGTCTCAAAAAGATCAAACAAAGAAACAAACCAAAAAACTCAGACAAACAAAAATACTGAAAAATTGTGTACCACAGAGAAATTGTTTCTGCATGTGAGTTCATAGAAAGCTAAGGACACCAGTCTTCACTAGGATTCAATCATTAGTGCCTTGATCGTGGATCTCCTAGCTTTAAAATAGTAAGACATAAGTTTCTGTTGTTTATAATATGTGATTGAGCTCTTAAGTGTTTGGAGATTTCTGTTATCTTTGTAATTCTCACTAGCAGTTATTTTCTTCATGGTAAGTAAGTTTCCTGTATGGGAACTACTTTAAGTTTTGTAAAGGTTTTCACTATGTAGTTCAGTCTAGCCTTGAACTCAATTTGTATCGGAGGCTGCCCGCAAAAGTCAGTGGTGATCCTCCTGCCCCAGCCTTCCAAGTGCTGGATCACAGGCGGACACTGGCACAACCTACCTTGTTATTTCTTCCTGCTGTCTTTCACACCAGACTTATGCACTAGCTTGGCAGAGTTCATGTGATTTTCCTTTGCTCTTGATTCATGCTTTAGTCCCTTCCTCTTCTATTCTGTTTTCCCCCATGTCTCTCTTTTTTGTGTGAGTGTGAAATTGTGATACTGAGGGCCCATGTAGTCCAGACAATTTTCTGGTTCATTTTAGATTTTGTACTGTAACCACACATGTAGCTCATAGAGTTAAAAGTGGCAAATTCTGTGTTCCCATGGTGTCTGCCATTTTCTAGGCTGTGTTTGATGGTAGTGTTATTGTTGACCATGCCAGTGTAGCCAAAGTGACATATTTGTTCTAAGTTCTTCCTGGCATGCCGAGACTGAGATTGCCTAAGGTCCATAAAAATACTGCAGGCTATTGACAAATAGACAGGGTTGAGGCCCAGTAGGCAGCAGCTCCTCCTGCCCAGGAAACTAAACAGGTTGGATCCTGCATCAGACTCAGAATCCAAAAGCCAGCTATACCTGGAAGAGACCCTCAGAACCAGTCATTTCCTAAGGGTTCTGAGTATTAGCAATATAACACTATAATAACTCACTATAAGCAATTTCCAAACATCAGCCCAGGAATTAAACTCAAATACACAATAGAAAATGCAGGTACATTTAAGCAAGAGGCACCCCCAGACTTCCAGCTCCCCAAAGACAAACCCAGAGGGCAGTGAGGTGGGGCAGCATGGAAGCAGCCACCTGGACTCAGAAGTGGCCACAGGAGAAGTAAGAGAGCAGATCCACGGGGCTCCAGACAGAAATCAAATCACATAACTTATGGGATAACTGCAGAGATGGTGAACATCATCAAAAACAAGGTTAGTGGCAGTAGAACAGACACAGGCACAAAATGGAGCTTAGGGAAATGATGGAAATCTTGAGTGTCTTCTCTGGGAAAGAAATGGGCTCCATGAAATCGATTCAAACAGGAGTCCAGAGGACTGAGGAGGAGTTTCAGAGTACATGTGGCACAATGAGCCATTGTGGGAACAATATCAGGTACAGAAGACAGCAGTGTATTTGGTTGTAATTTCTTCTTAATATTAAGGGGCCATGGGAAGTCAATCAAAGATTGCTAGATAATGAGAAATAACAAGATTAATCCGAACCAGTGAAAAAGAAGGGGATGACACATAGGAGGTAAAAAAGCTGTTCATAGAAGTCATGACAGCAAAGTTTCCAAGTAGGGAAAAAAGTTTGACACGCAGGTAAGTGAGACATGACAAACTCCAATTAGCCATGATCAAATGTAAAGGAAAATGCAAAACAAAACTAAACCTAGTATGGAAAGGCATATAATATTCAAGATTGCAGAAATTCAGGACAACAGAATATGCAAAGGTGTTGGAGAATAACCAGTCATTTATATTGGAGAGTCCAGAATCGTAGCAGATTTCTCAACACAAATCTTGAATTCAGGCAGGGCTTGGAGTGCAGTATCTCAAGCCCTCAAGCCTTCAACGCAGATTGTTGTATTCTGCCAAACTATCTTTCAAATCTGATGGAGTAATAAGATACATCCATGACAACCCCTGTAGATATTCAGGACCACCAATCCAGCATTGTAGAATATTCAAAAGGACATTCTAGAAAGTGATAAGAGATACAACACCCTGGAGACCAACAGAATAACTCCAATAGGTAAGGCAATCATTGAAACAGGGGAAGAAGGGGAACCAACAATAGGAAAATAACAGCATCCATCTGGTGTAGCCATCGATATAAATGTTCTCAGCCATCAAAAGAAGCAGACTGGCAGAAGGGATCAAGAAGCAAGATCCCACAATGCACTGCATACCAGAGACACATTTAATCTTAAAAGTCTGAAGGCATGTAGCTGAGAAGCAGAAGCCTGAATGTCAAAGACAAGTTTTCTGAAATCATTTAGCCCTTTCTTTTGTTCTGTTTGCTGCTAATCAGAAGGTGGCAGCCCACCCTCAGGCATCTCACAGGCATTGCAATGGTGGGATTCAAGGGGTCTTATTGCAGGCATCAGTTTGCCACACAGCAGCTTAAGACAAAGTCTCTTATCTGACAACTCTAACTCTAGGGCTCTGCTCCATTCTCCATGTAGTGATTCACAAGGCCAAAATGAAAACTCAGGCTGCCTTGCTCTGAGGATCCCCCTCCATCCTCATTCAGGGGTCTGCAGAGTTAGTGCTGTGCTGCTGCAGTACAGGGTGCACGTGTCCCCACTCTCTGTCGGCCTCAGGGCCCCTCCGTTCTCTGAGGCTAGTGTTCCTCACGTGGCTCTGCCATCTGAGGTAGGGGAAGATGGCAGCTTTGACAGAGCACTCTCAGATGGAACAGACCTCTAAAACCTTTGAGACTCAGAGAGGAAGGAAGAGACCCAGCTGTTAGCGGAGAGCAAGCTGCTCTAGTGTTGAAGGAGAACATGGCGGATGCACAGGCAACATGTGTGTGACCGATGCAAGCAGTGATTCTTGAGAAAGAAAACAAAAGGCAAACATGAGGGTTAAGGTTCATTTAAACAACATTAAAAACTTAAAAATCCTTTTATAACTGGTGAAACAACTGTTGCCTTTCACTACGAAAGCATATTTGACCTGCTATCTGGAAGTAGAAATATACACAGTGATAAAGACTCTGCTATGTAAACACTTGAAGTTTTTAAAGCTAAAGTCGCACACACATGATACATGCACATTAACCAGTAATCTCTCTTAAGTCATATGCTTTGCATTTTTGCCATGAATCTATAAATGGTCACGAAAATTTTTCACTTTTCTCTGGTTTATATTCTGTATCCTTCAGTTTCGGAAAGTCCTGCCAGTTGAACAGTGCTGACATTTAAAAGTGGTCTAGATCTACTGGCTTCAGCTGAAGGACCATTTTGTGGCTGTGTAAATGAAATGCACTTGTACTCTGGGTGAAAGTCTGTTTATGATCATCAATGCTATTCCTAAGTTTGTAAGAGATCTAAAGGAAGTTGTTTTTTTGTGTGTGTGCTGTGAAACTGTGGACCTGTTAAATGCATAATCGTATTAGAATAGCACTACTACTGAACCATAGATTCTAAATTTCATCTGAAGAGTCAACACTATGTGTATATGTAAAGGACTTCTGTGTAGTTGTAATGTTAAGTATTTCTGACCTATTTATATCTTAAGTGCATTTTGGTTCCCTACATGTCCAAGCCTTCTGAAATAAGCAGCTGAAATAGAAAAAGCACCTCACCATTCTGCACTCCCCCAACCAAAACTGTTAGTAATGATAGTCTGGTAAAGCTTTTTGCGCTCCCTGTTTACTGTGATCAAATCTGCCCAAACAATGTACATTCTAAAAATGTATCGCTCCAATGACCGAAAGACTGGCCATTAGGCACCTGTAATGTATACCTATAACTAAAGCCATCATACTTAAAAGGACACTAATTCTGACAAAACTAAATGTATTTATTGTGTTTCTTAGATTACTATGTTAAATGGATTTTTCCTACTCTTTTTAAAATTTTTATTCTTTATTAGCTCATTTTTGCAACCAGAATGATCATATACCTCATGCGGATGTGTCTCATTTCTACAATACTGCTCAAGGCTTTTTCATTCCCTGTTCTCTTTCCTCTGTCCCCCTCCATCTCTTGGTCCCATTCCTATTTGTAAAAAATCTAGCTCTGTATTTCCTAGGATGCTCAGAGAAGAAACCATGGGATATTTTAATTTGTGCCTCGGATTCATTATGCTTATACTATTTTTATTTCATGTTTGCTT